GGGATATATGTTCTAAGTCTTGATGTGCCAATCTATAATATAAATACAAAAAGGTTTAAATCTAATGATTTGAATCCAACCTACGTATGGCATTGTCGATTAGGTCACATAAACGAGAAACGAATTCACAAGCTTCATAGCGATGGACTATTAAATTCATTTGATTTTGAATCATTTGATACATGTGAATCTTGTTTAGTTGGAAAAATGACAAAAGCTCCTTTTACTAATCAAAGTGAGAGGACAAAAGAATTATTGGCCCTTATACATACTGATGTGTGTGGACCACTAAGTTCTACAGCCAGAGGAGGTTATCAGTACTTCATTACATTTACTGATGATTTCAGTAGATATGGATATGTTTACTTGATGAAACATAAATCTGACTCCTTTGAAAAGTTCAAGGAATTTCAGAATGAAGTACAAAATCAACTTGGCAAGAATATCAAGGCTCTTCGATCTGATCGAGGAGGAGAATATTTAAGCCAAGAGTTCAATGACCATCTCAAAGAGTGTGGAATTGTTTCACAGCTCACTCCCCCTGGAACACCACAGTGGAATGGCGTCTCTGAGAGGAGAAATCGAACTTTGTTAGACATGGTTCGATCTATGATGAGTCATTCAGATCTTCCATTATCTTTCCGGGGATATGCATTCGAGACACTGCGTTTACACTAAATAGAAGTCCATCAAAAGTCAGTAGAGAAGACACCATATGAGATGTGGACAAGAAAAGTTCCTAGTATGTCTTTTCTAAAGATTTGGGGTTGCGAAGCTTATGTAAAACGTTTACTTTCTGATAAGCTTGGACCCAAATCTGATAAATGCTTCTTTGTCGGATATCCTAAAGAAACGAAAGGATATTACTTTTACAATCCATCAGAGAACAAAGTGTTTGTTGCTCGAAATGGTGTCTTTTAGAGAAAGAGTTTCTTACTAAAGGAACCAATGGGAGTAAGGTAAACCTCGAAGAAGTTATTGTCTTTGCAAGAGGGTGTTCCAGGTTCATGAGGAACCTCAATTAGATCTACAAAGAGTTGTAGAGTCTACTCCAAGGGCACCTATAGTTCGTAGGTCCGAAAGAACACATCGTGAGCCTATGAGATATGGTTTTCACGTGACAGAACATCGTCATCTATTGTTAATAGAAAATGATGAACCTACGACCTATACAGAAGCTATGATGGGCCCAGACTCCGATAAATGGCTTCAGGCCATGAAATCCGAAATGGACTCAATGTATCAAAACAAAGTTTGGACTTTGATTGATCCACCCGAAGGTGTCAAACCTATAGGGTGCAAGTGGGTTTTCAAGAAGAAAACTGATATGGATGGAAATGTTCACATCTATAAAGCACGGCTAGTAGCTAAAGGTTTCAAACAAACTCATGGTATTGACTATGATGAGACCTTTTCGCCAGTGGCCATGCTTAAGTCCATTCGGATTATCCTAGCGTTTGCTGCATATTATGACTATGAAATATGGCAAATGGATGTAAAGACAGCTTTCCTTAACGGAAATCTTAAGGAGGATGTGTATATGACACAATCTGAAGGCTTTACATCACCAGATAACACTGGAAAGATATGCAAGCTTCAACGTTCTATTTATGGATTGAAGCAGGCATCACGGAGCTGGAATATTCGTTTCGATGAAACTGTCAAAGAGTTTGGCTTCATCAGAAACAAAGAAGAAGCTTGTGTATACAAGAAGTCTAGTGGGAGTGCAATTGTGTTTCTAGTGTTGTATGTGGATGACATACTACTCATTGAAAACGACATTCCTATGCTTCAGTCAGTTAAGACATCGCTAGGAAAATTTTTCACCATGAAGGATATGGGAGAAGCAAACTATATCTTGGGGATCAGGATCTATAGAGATAGATCTAAGAGACTTATTGGACTGAGTCAAAGTACATATGTTGACAAAGTCATCAATAGGTTTAATATGCAAGATTCCAAGAAAGGTTTTCTCCCAATGACACATGGCATAAGTCTTAGCAAGACTCAGTGTCCTTCAACACAAGATGAGCGAGACCGCATGAGTAGGATTCCTTATGCATCAGCTGTGGGATCCATCATGTGTGCTATGTTATGCACTCGTCCTGACGTTGCTTATGCATTGAGCATGACAAGTAGATACCAGTCAGATCCAGGGGAACCTCACTCGGATTGCTTGTCAAGAATATCCTTAAGTACTTGAGAAGAACTAAGGATTTATTCTTAGTCTATGGAGGTGAGGAACAGATCACTGTAAATGGTTACACTGATGCTAGTTTCCAAACCGACAAAGACGACCTACGATCGCAGTCAGGTTTTGTCTTTTGCGTGAATGGTGGAGCGGTGTCTTTGGAAAAGTTCCAAGCGGAAACTCTTGCGATGATTCTATGACAGAAGAGTATATTGCTTGCTTGAAGCATCAAAGGAAGCTGTTTGGATTCGAAAGTTCATAGAAGAACTGGGAATCAGTCCCACTAGTTCGATTCCAGTGGACCTCTATTGTGACAGCAATGGGGCCATAGCTTTGGGTAAAGAACCTAGGTCTCATCAGAAGACCAAACACATACTCAGGAAGTATCATCTCATTCGGGAATTCATTGAAAGAGGTGATGTTAAGATGTGCAAAGTTGCAACGGAGTTGAATACAGCTGATTCGTTGACGAAGGCTCTTCCACAACCTAAGCATGAGCGTCATTGTAACGCTTTAGGCCTTAGACACATTAGTGATTGGTCTTGATGTGAGTGGGAGTATATGTGATATATATTTTAATTGTTCATTAATAAAATATATATTATATTTGATTTCGATTTAATTTGAGTATATAGTTGAATGCGAAATCTTTATCCCCTGAATATTGAATATCCTTAATAGATAATCAAATACGTGATTTGATCGTGAAATTCTATTGATAGAGTGGATATTAATGTTCTAAATGTCCCTAGTCAATTTGCCATTGTGCATTGGGACGCAAATGGCATTTGAGACTAGCATGTGAGTCAACTGATGACCAAGTTTCACGGGTCATGAATATAGAGATATAAAGTTGATCACATGGAATACATGTTGGAGAACATTGTATTGGACTGACCCGCTATGAGAATACTGTAGGATTGTTATATAATGTCATCAGTATTTCTCATCACAGCTATAGAGTATAGTCCTTTGACCTGAGTCTACCATGGTTTCCTAGACGTGGATTGGCGTGCTTTAACGTTGCCAAACGTCAGCCGTAACAGGTGATTATAAAGGTAATGGCTGGGTATGTCATGAAGCGTGCTGAGTGATGTGAGTAGACAAGATGGGATTTGTCCCTCTCATATAACGAGGGTATGATTTCCTGGCCTCCCGTAGAGTTGAGACTGTGAAATGCATGGCCATGCTCAAGTGAGTTGAAGAGTCAACTACTTGTTTTGACAGTCTAACTGCGGTATCGGGAAAATGAGTTTAAGCTATATAAGAATGACACTTGTCCTGCCTTATGCTTAACTCGGAAATCAAGTGACAAAAGAGACTTAGTTTATATGATTGGTTCTAGTGCAAGCGGGAGATTGTTAGTGGTCTGCCCTAAGAATCAATCAAGGTTGATACTCTAATATTAGTTGTGGATTAGGTTGTGTCGGAAAACCGATCTTCACTATACTTAGGTAGTCATAATGTGTTGCTAGAGATCGCTTATGACTTGTGGGCCAAAAGAGTTTTGGGCACACTGCTAATGTTTAGTGAACCTACAGGGTCGCACACAATAGCGAACGGACTTAATATTGTCTATGCGCCTTGACCTACTTAAGAAGTAGATTTTAATTTATTCTCCTATTTAAATTATCTATGCGGTCGTACGCGTTATGAGATAACGATTAAACGTACGATCGAAGGTGGACGGTTTGGCGGGCCCAAATAGCCCGGCCCACTTCTTTTAATTCTGCTAGATAATGAGGCTGTATAAATAGATAGAGAGTCGTTCTCTGTCTAGGGTTTTTTCGATAGAGTATCGAAAAGCAAAAGGCGTTCAAGAAAAAGGAACTTCAAGATCTTTCGCTAGCACGTGGATCGTTGGAGAATTTCATTCGTGTGTGTGGATACCGGTAGAGGCGCAACACTTGGGGCGCTCATCTAGACACAATCAGTTGCTGATTTCTCTTTGATCTGCAAAAGGTACGTATCGAAATTCCTTTTCGATTTCAATATACGCATGGATCCTGTCTAGGGTTCTATATTCCGCTGCGTTGTTACTGTTAATGATCCCTACATTTATAAAATATGATGTATCTTCGTGCTGATACTCTTTAGGATTGGTTTGCCAAGCAATCGAACAAGAAAAGATTATACTTTTAAACGGACTATCTTTTCTCGAATGCCCGGAAAATGAAATATACTCAGAAAATATCGGTGGAATCGGCCTGAGCCGAACTAGCCGGTTGCAGGGTCAACCCAAGAATAGGTCGAGGCTTATTTTTTCTTTTATCTTAGCATGTATACAATATGCACGTGTTGAGTACAATTCTTTTTAATCGAGTATAATATGCCAAACGTATTCAATTTCGAAAGGGAAGGAATCACGGAAGGAGAGGATTAGGAAGAATGGAAGCCGACTGATCACCCCCATCATCAGACAAAAATCCTGGGCGACCGGGACGAGAGGAGCTGCTACTGTCCGAGTCTGACTTTCAAGAAACGAGAGGCTGCTCCTTTCTCCCATTTTCACCATGTTCCTCTTCGCGTTCTTGAATTCTTGATCGCCACACTCGCGTCTCTGACAATCGCCTCCGCCTATCAGCCCACGCACGCACCCACGCATCCCTTGTCTTGTCTTCTTCCTCCTCCTCTTCTTCTTCTTCTTTCGAATCGACAGGGACAAGAACCCACACACCACTTTCTATAAATTCAACCTCCCCGCACACACACATACACGATCCGTCCCAGCTTTAGAGAGCCACCCGTTTATCCAGATGCCCACTTTCTCCCCTTTTCCTCTCCAGGCGATCGTTTTCTCCAGGCTATCGTGGGTTTCTTGCGTGGGGTATGCGTGTCTGTGTGCGCGCTGACTGAGTGTGTGGTCTGATCGGAGGCATTGCTGTATGTCAGCAGAGTACTACTCCGATAAGTACTGCGGTGGATATGTTGAGGTAGCGAACCCGTTGCAATGGCCACAACTCAGGAAAAGGCGGCGCCTTGCTGCGTCGGGAGAGCCAAGCCGCCGCCGCCGCCGCCCCCACCGGCGGCGGAGACCGTGCTCGGGAAGGCCGACGAGGAGGTGCTGGTCCACGACTGGGCCGTGCCCGCGGGCAATCTGGCCGAGGATCTGACCGGCAAGAGAGCTGCCCCCGTCGGTGCTGCTGTCTTGGTCCGTCCCGTGGAGCCTCTCCCCGATTCGCCTGCAAAAGCTCCGGCCAACAAAGGTTCGTGCACGTAGTCTTCTTTTTTCTCTTTTTCTCTGAGCTACGTGTAAGTGTATGTGTAGGTATGTACAAATCTTATTGGGGTATATACGGTGGTGATAATGCTTTGGCTTTACATCTGATCAAAAAGGTTGCTTTTTTGTGTGTCTGCGTTCTTCTCTGTTTTATAGTGCTTGTGACAATATGGCATCCCCGTTGAGATGATCAATCTAGCATCACCCATCGAGCAAGCTCTGGCTTCCGCGTCCCAAATGTTTGAACTATTCTAGTCCACGTCTTCGATTTTTGTTCTCTTTTGTTTTACTTAGGAATGAGTTTCCTGATTCCTAGATCCTGAGTTTTTCTTGTTTAGGTAATTCGTTTTCCAGGTTTTTATCTTTGGAACACAAGAAGTCAACCATCGCGGGTGACCAAGGGTGTTCATTTTCTGTTCTGTCTGATCTATCCTATTGCTCAATATATATAATGGGCCCCTACGTCGTCGCCTCCCTCTCCGGCGACAAGCGCAACAAGAAGAAGCAGCGCACCCCCCCCATTGGGGCCACGCCCTTGCAGCCATCACCGTCGACTTGGCCGCGGCCCGCGCTGGCTGCCTCACCCTCAAGCTCAAGATCAAGGCCGAGCGGACCCTCGGAGGCAACAAGGACGTCGGCAGGGCCATCGTGCCAGTCGGGGAGCTGCTCGAGCAGGGCGGCGACGGGAAGCCCAAGGCAATGAGCTACGCTGTGAGGCTGCCGTCCGGGAAGACCAGGGGCGTCCTGGAGTTCTCCTACAAGTTCGGTGAGCCATTCACCATGGCGGCACCCCCGCCGGTCATGGTGTACCTGGCCGCGGCAGCGCCGCCCGCCTCGGGCTCGGCCGCTGCATACGCGCCGCCGATGCATGGGGTGGCGCCATACCCTCCGCAGGGATACGGGTATCCACCGACCACCGCAACAGGATATGGTTACCCCGCAAAAGGGCTATGGTTACCTGCCGCCGCAGCGGTACAGGTACCAGCCATAGGGATGCGAATACCCGCTGCAGGGATACGGATACCCGCCACAGGGATACCAGCCACAGGGATACCAGCAGCCGCCGAAGAAACACGGCAGCGGCGCCGGGGGCTTGGGGCTGGGGTTGGCGGGCGGGCTGCTTGGCAGGCTGGTGATCAGGGACATGATATCGAACGCGTAGTCGTACGACGCCGGATACAATGCCGGGTTCGATGACGGCATGGATATGTAAACTGAGTTTCTTTCTTGTTCTTTGCGTCTTCCTTCCTTCTGCCTTTTCCCCTTGGTTCTGATGATGTCTCGAGCTATATGAGTTGTCCTCCTCTTTCTTCATGATTTGTAAATGAAATGGATCCGTTTCATGTGGCTATAAAATAGCGATCTTGACCTTTCGTTTTGGCTCTTTTCTTTCGGTTCTTTGTTTCATAACTATGGCAATGGATCGGATCATCTAGATGATCGAGCATCGCCGCTCCGGCAACCTCGATCGGGGGTCGTCGATGACCTCAGAGAGGAGGGAGGGCAGGCAGCGAGGGGCAGGCTCAAAGGGCTGACCACGCGCCGCCGCCGAGGAGAGGGGTGGCAGATGATTTTGGTTGTTTTTCTGTGATGGAATGGATGGTAAAGTTGAGGAGGGTCTTGTGCATTTACCATGACCAAAACCAGAAAGCAGGTTCTTTCCAAGAGCATAAGAACCAGACCAAATGCCATGCTAATTACTCAAAACTTGAACTCCCTGTGAGATGCACCGGAAATTCTTCGGCTCCCTTCGATTCGATAGTACAGTTCCGGTCGAGACTCTCAACTATGGCGACTACAAATCCCGACGTGCGGGACATAAACATGGTTCTAAGTTACAACATACGTTCGTATTGTGCAAGATACTCAGGGACTGTTGCATAAGCAGATTGCAATGACCAAAAAGGTCGCACTCGTTTGCAATTCGCTGATGATTCCAAAGCAAACTTCGTTGATCAAACCATGAATGCGCCTTTGATATCCGATTAGATTAGTTGAGCTTCCTCCCAACCCATGCAAAAGCCCAAGTTGTTCCCATTCTTAACATGAAATGTACCGTAAATTCCATGCTAATCCAGCTCCTTGGAGCGATCATGTTGTATCCGATGTTTGCTGTCTTCTGAGAGTTTAGACTGCATTTGGAAGTCCGAATAGAAGTCATGATAGGATCCTATGTTTGATAGGTGTCCACCGGATTAAAGGGGATATAGCTTCGTCGTGCCCCCCTCTCTAGCGGCGGCAGCGGCGACCGTCAATTGTGGCCTTGAACTTGAGCCGAAACGCGATAAAATGTAGCAAAGCAAAGGGTGCAATGCAATGGGAGCGACAACCGAATCAGGGTGGGACTGATTAGGAGGTGGCTACGTCGTCGGGTCCAGGCTGTTAGTGAGAAGGTCTAAAATTGATCGTGAAAATGTCTCAGATGGCAAAATCGAAAGGTTTACGACTGAATTGACAAGAATGGAATAGGTTTATAACCTTCTGGACAATTTTTCCCTGAGCTAACATCAAGCATCCATCAACAATCACCTGACAAAACTTCAATTTCGTCTTTGATCCCATCATTTTTTTTATTTGTTTTAGGTGATATTTTCGAAATTCGAGGTCATGTTACTTGCTTTTTTCTTTTTCTAATATCTATTGAATTAGGTTTTTAGATAACAAATGTTATCTCATGATTTACTAGATAATCACTTACTTATTTTGTTAGTTATCCGATCAGCAAACGGTTGAAAGATAACGTACTTGAAATTTGGGATATAAGTACACTAATCTATCTCAATTCAATTCAATTCGATTTTAATTTTTCTAAACTGTAGTTGAAATTCACATGAAATCAAGCACAGATAATTATAAATAAATAAAAAAGAGAGGAATAATTGAATTTTCGGGTAATTTCCAGAAGAGTGTCAAAGTGAAAGGAGAGTGTCTTTAAGTGACGTCATATCTATTCATATGTCAAAGATGTACACACTTTCGACCCCCCCGGTCAATAATGCGGAAAATCGTAAAATAAATGCGCGATTTAATATTTAAAAAATTCTACGAAACAATTCCCTCTTTCTACCCTGCTCGTCCCGGAAAAATTTCGAACCAATCCCCTATCCCGACACAACGCAAAATTTCGCGAGACCACTGCCAACTGATCTATAAATTTTCCGTGATCTAATATATTTACCTATTTTAACACATAACGAGGATTCTTGAGAAAAAAAAAAGAAAGGAATGACGAGAAATTGCCAGAATTATATCTCGGGAAGTTTTCGTGAAATCGGCAAAAAAATTATCTTCTGAAAAGGGTAACACAACGCGTAAAATAATTAATTAACTAATTTTTTTGGTCTGGCAATTAATTACCTAAATCGGCAACAAATATTTTGTTGCCTATAATTTATTACCTAAATAGGCAACGATATATATATATATATATATATATATATATATATATATATATATATATATGTATATGTATATCTCCGACGTCGCTTCTTCATCTTCGTCTTCTTCTCGTGGGTTGCTATTGATCTTTCAGAGGTTTTCGAGCGGCAGACACGGAGTGCAGGCCTCTGGAGGTGACGTTGATCTCTGCCAAGGACCTCAAGGACGTCAACCTCTTCGGCAAGATGGACGTCTACGTCGTCGTCTCCCTCTCCGGCGACAAGAATAAGCAGCGCACCCCCGTCCACAAGGACGGCGGCGCTAGCCCCCGGTGGGGCCACACCGTCGTCCTCACCGTGGACGAGGCCGCGGCCCGCGCCGGCTGCCTCACCCTCAAGTTCAAGATCAAGGCCAAGCGCACCCTCGGCGGGGACAAGGACGTCGGTAGGGCCGATGTGCCTGTCAAGGAGCTGCTCGAGCGGGGCAGGGCCGCCGGTGGCGATGGGAAGTCCAGGGCGATGAGCTACAGCGTGAGGCTGCCGTCCGGGAAGACCAAGGGCGTCCTTGAGTTTTCTTACAAGTTCGGGGAGCAGTTCACCGTGGCAGCGCCCCGGGCGGCGAAGAAGGCGGGCAAGCCGGTCATGGCTTGTCCAGCTGCGGCGGTGCCGCCCGCCTCGAGCTCGGCCGCCGCGTACCCGCCGCCACCAATGCGCAGGGCGGCGCCGTACCCTCCACCAGCGGGACATCCGCCGCAGGGGTACTGGTATCCGCCGAACGCCATGCCCGGGTACGGGTACGCAGCCCCGTCGCCGGCATACCAGCAGCCGCCCAAGAAACATGGCGGCGGCGCTGGGGGCTTGGGGCTGGGGTTGCTGTGCGGGTTGTTTGGCGGGCTGGTGATCGAGGACATGATATCGGACTGTTGAAGATACGGTTGCCGTTGCTGATTGATCCTAATTGATATTGACTGCTACGTTGATGGAAGATTAGAATATTATACATCAGGAGAATTTTGCATATTTTCTTTCCCTAATCATCTAGACTTTGTTACTTATGAAAAAGCAATACGAATTCTATTCTTCAGTTGCTTTCCATCCTCTAAAAACTTCTTAACACGGACGCGTCGTCGTACGACGCCGGATACGATGCCGGGTTCGATGATGGTATGTGATAAGAAAGAAATATTAAAAGAGAATGGTATTTATTCTCTTATAATGGTGTAGGAAACAATGTACATGAGAAGCCTTTATATAGGCTTAGAGGAGTAAAGGAGCCTAGCATTCTTCCTATGTGGGACCAAAGAGAAAGAAGAGATGTAAAGGAAAACCTACAAAACTATACAACATGTTCTAACACCCCTCAAACTCAAGGTGGATCAAATAACGAGAGTTTGGAAAGAAGAAATTTAAATCATTGTGATGTAATAGCCTTCGTAAAACAATCGGCAAGTTGATTTTCAGTTCCAACAAAAGGAAGTGAAATAGTGCGAGCTTGGAGATGATGACGAGTCAGATGACAATCGATCTCAATATGTTTGGTACGCTCATGAAAGACTGGATTTGTACCGATATGAATGGCACTCTTGTTGTCACAATGCAGAGGAGTAGGATCATAAGTGAAACTCCCATATCAGCAAGTAAGCGGCGAAGCCAAACAATCTCAACAGTAGTGTCGGCCATAGCACGATACTCGGACTATATAGAGGAGAGTGAGACAATATGTTGTTTCTTGGAACGCCAAGAAATAAGTGAATCGCCAAGAAAAATGCAATAACCAGTGATAGATTTGCGATCAGTGACATTGGAAGCCCAATCAGCATCAGAATAGGCACGCAACTTGAGAGCAGAAGAGGATGGTAGAAATAAGGAACGCGATAAAATGCCTCGAAGATAACGCAGAATCCTTAGAACAGCCGCATAATGAATTGTTCGAGGAGCAGCAACAAACTGACTAACAACATGAACAGCATAGGCGATGTCGGGTCGGGAGATAGTAAGATAAATAAGACTGCCAACCAAGGTCCGATAGCGGGTGACATCAGAAAGAGGTTCTCCATCGTCTGGGCAAAACTTTTGATTTAGCTCAATAGGAGTGGCAGCATTACGTGAATCTGATAGAGCAGCTCTGGACAGAATATCAGCGATATATTTCTGCTGAGAAATGAGAATACCACGTGAACTGCGAGCAATCTCAAGCCCAAGAAAGTAGCGTAGTGGTCCTAGATCCTTCATGGCAAAATGTTGCTGAAGGTGCCGCTTGGTATGCTCAATATGGTCACGATCATCTCCGGTGATGACCATATCATCAACATAAAGAAGAAGAATAGTGCAGCCTGAAGAAGAGGTATGAACAAACATAGCATGATCAGCCTCACTTTGAATGAAACCAGCAAACTGAATAGCATCACTGAACTTCTCAAACCAAGCACGAGGGGCCTGTTTGAGACCATAAAGAGCCCGTCGCAAGCGGCAAACCTGTCCAGAGGTATGAGCAAGACCAGGCGGAGGTTGCATAAAGATATCTTCCTGAAGATCACCGTGAAGAAAAGCATTCTTCACATCAAGCTGAAAGAGAGGCCAACTGCGAATTGAAGCAACAGCTAATAAAGCACGGACATATGTCATCTTTGCTACGGGAGCAAAGGTCTCCTCATAGTCGATACCATACTCTTGCGAGAAACCTCGAGCAACCAGACGAGCTTTGTAACGCTCAATACTGCCATCAGAACGAGTCTTAATCTTATATATCCATCGGCAAGATACGAGGGAGCGACCTGGAGGAAGAGGCACAAGCTCCCAAGTACCAGTACTCTTCAAAGCTGAGAGTTCCTCAGACATAGCCTGGCACCATTCTACATGCTGAACTGCCTCGCGATAACTATTAGGTTCTTGTACAGCATGAACAGCAGCTAAAAAGGATCCAAACTCAGTAGAATAAGAAGTAACAGCAACATACCGGGTAGGTGGACGCTGATCTCGAGGAGGATTACGGCGTGGCTCTAGTTGTGCGGAATCGTCGAGGCGGATACGACGGAGGTGCAAGCCAAGGGATAGGTGAAGATGGAGAAGGTGGCAATATCTAGATCCGATGTAGAAGAGGGACTAGAAGGATCAGGTAGAGGATCAACAGGAAAATCCATAAATGGAACAGGAGACAAAACATGAGGTGTAGCATTTGTTGAAAAGAAAGGGATGTGTTCATGAAACGTAACATCACGAGAAATACGTACACGTCGCGCATTTGGGTCATAACAACGATAACCTTTGTGCTCAGTGCTGTAACCCAAGAATGCACATGGGATAGAGCGGGCGGTAAGCTTTGTATGTTCAGTGAGTGGAAGAATGACAAAACAAGTACATCCAAAAACTCGAAGATGATTATAGCTAGGAGGTCGAGAGTAGAGACGTTGAAACGGGGTGTCTTGATGGAGAACAGATGAGGGTAGGCGATTAATTAGATGAACATGTGAGAAGAGCCTCGCCCGAACTCGGTGGGAACGGATGTGCCAAGTAAGAGAGCTCGAGTGGTCTCTAGAATATGACGGTGCTTGCGTTCAGCAACTTCATTTTGAGCTGGAACCCCAGGACAAGATAACTGAGGAAGTGTACCATCACTAGCTAAGAGGGAACGAAAGACACCAGAGAGATATTCTCCCCCTGAATCTGAACGGAAAACTTTGATTTTTGTATTAAATTGTGTGGAAACCATGGAAGTAAAAGACTGATAGATGGTAAAGAAATCACTACGTTGACGCATAAGATAGACCCATGTATAACGAGAATAATCATCAATAAAAGATACATAATATTTGAAACCACTCTTGGAAGAGAGCGAGGCAGGACCCCAAACATCAGAATGAACAAGATCGAAGATCGCACTAGTTCTAGAGTTACTAACAGGAAAAGGCTTAGCAGATTGCTTGGCCAAAGGGCAGATAGAACATGGAGGGAGACTACCAGAAGAAATAGGACCCAAAGCACCTTGTTGGTGAAGGACGGTGAGACGAGAAGACGGAATATGTCCAAGACGCTGATGCCACCGAACAAGATCGAGGGTAGCCAACACAGGATGAGGAAGAGAGGAAGTTGGAAGATGGAGATGTTGCATAATATAAAGTTCATCCCGTCTTTTGCCCCTGCCAATCATCTTGCCACTCAAACGATCATGCACAAAGCAAGAGCTATTTGTAAAGCTTACAGTATATCCAGCATCGGTGAGTTGTCCAACAGATAATAAATTGAGAGCCAAAGAGGGAACATGTAACACATCAGGGACATTGAAATCTTCAGAGACGGTAAGAGTACCCTATCGGGTAGCTAGTAGAGGAGAACCATTAGCAGTAAAGAAATGTGCTGGTTGCTTGAGCTCAGAGAGCTTAGTGAGAAAAACAGCGGAAGTAGACATATGTCTAGCAACTCCTGAGTCAAGTACCCAAGTAGTAGAAATATCACCTGAAGGTGGAGTAGCTGCAGTGGTGCTTCCAGCAGATGAGAGAGTTGTAGAAGTACCAGAATCGGGAAAAGACCTGGCAGAGAAGGACTCAAACGGGCAAGTTGGGCCTCAAGAGCAGCAATACGGTCATCCGTAGAGGGAGAAACCAGAGTAATAGGTTGAGAGATTGGAGATGCGGTAGTGACTCGTGGTGATGCGAAAGGCGTGAAGCATTCCTCTTCTTCCAACAATGTGACTCGTCATGACCGGACGATGACAATACGTACATGAAAGGCGGCGAGGACCACGAGTAGGCGAAGGACGTGGTGGAGCGCCAAACCCGTAGGCGGAACACGTGGTGGAGCAGCCAAAATAGCAGCTTGAATCGAAACCGCGAGGAGGAAAGAAGACCAAGACGAGTTTCCTCGATCGTAATTCTTTGACAGGCGCAAGGAGGGATGGTCTTGGAGAGCGGTGAAGAAGTTGGCTGCGAACACCTTCATAGGGAGAGCCGAGCTTCATAAGAAAAGAATGTAGACGGTGCCTATCTTGAGTCTGAAGTCGAGTAGATGGACACCGAGTACAGTTCAGGCATGATGGGCAGAGAATAGGAGCAAGAATATCCAGTTGACTCCAAAGTGAGTGCATGTAATTGTAGAAATCTCGAATAGAGCGAGACCCTTGCGTAGCACTGTAAACTTCTTGCTCCAACTGATAAACTCGAATGTCCCCTGTCTGGGTGAACATCTCGGCAAGCTGATCCCATAAACTTTTCGCCTCAACAACATTAGAAAATTGTGGGCGAAGAGCAGGATCAATGGAACCAAAAATGATAGCCCATGCCTTCCGATCAGCAACATTCCATGCTCGAATTTCAGCGGCACGTTTCGCAACTTCATCAGATGATTCACTTTTAAGAGCACCAGGACAAGGACAAAGTCCCTCAACATGCTCAAACAAGTCGCGGTAAACAAGTGCTGCCATTGCCGATGGTTTCCAAAGAGAATAGTTTGAACCATCGAGTTTGACGTCAATACGGTCACTAGAATCACCCATGACGACAGAAAAAGAAATCACTAGCAAAGCTAGAAATATGGATTGAAGTGATCGAAAGGATCGAGAAAGAAGAAGCGCGGATTAGAACGAGCAAGGATGATGGCCCAAAAGCCCTAAACTCATTATCTTAATTTCTGATGCGGAAGATCCAATTTATGGCAACCGCAGAGCATACTTTAAAAGATAATGAGCTCATTGTCTTAATTTCTGATGCGGAAGATCCAATTGATGGCAACCGCAGAGCATACTCTTCAAGACAATGATCTTGGCTCTGATACCATGATAAGAAAGAAAAATTAAAAGAGAATGGTATTTATTCTCTTATAATGGTGTAGGAAACAATGTACATGAGAAGCCTTTATATAGGCTTAGAGGAGTAAAGGAGCCTATCATTCTTCCTATGTGGGACCAAAGAGAAAGAAGAGATGTAAAGGAAAACCTACAAAACTATACAACATGTTCTAACAGTATGGACATGTAGACGAAGTTTCTTCCTTGTTTTTGCATCTTCCTTCCTCCTGCCTTTTCCCCTTAGTCTGATGTTGTCTCGAGCTATGAGATGTCCTCCTTTTTCTTTATGTGTAAATGAAATTGGATCCGTTTCATGGGGGCTAAAATAGCTATCTTGACCTTTCATTTTGGCTTCTTTTCTTTCGGTTCTTTGTTTCGCAAGTATGGCAATGAATCGGATCATCTAGATCGAGCATCGTCACTCCGGCGACCTTGATCTGGGCCATCGATGACCTCAAAGAGGGGGGAGGGGGCGGGCCGGTATGGGGCGGGTGAAGAGCAGATCAGTGGAGTAGCAAGGAGGCAGGCTCGGAGGGGGGCCGCCCACACCTTGGCCGCCGAGGTCGGGGGCTGCGAGTGATTTGGTGTTTTTTTCAATGATGGAATGGACAGTTAGATTACAAAAAGTTGAGGAGGGTCTTGTGCATTTCCCATAACGAAAACCAGAAAGCAGGTTCTTTCCAAGAGCATAAGAACCAGACCAAATGCCATGCTCAATTACTCAACAACTTCACTCCTCGTGAGATGCACCGGAAATTCTTCGACTCCCTCCGATTCGATAGTACAGTTCCGATCGAGACTCTCGACTATGGTGACTCAGAACCCCGACGCACGGTACATAAACATGGTTCTAAGTTACAACATATATTCATATCATGAAAGATACTTAGGACTATTGCATAAGCAGACTCCAATGACCAGAAAGGTTGCACTCTTTTGCAATTCACTGATGACTCAGAATCCCGACGCGTCGTCGTACGACGCCGGATACGACGCCGGGTTCGATGATGTTATGGATATGTAAACGAAGTTTCTTTCTTGTTCTTTGCGTCTTCCTTCCTCCTGCCTTTTCCCCTTATTCTGATGTTGTCTCGAGCTATTATGAGATGTCCTCCTTTTTCTTTATGTGTAAATGAAATTGGATCCGTTTCATGGGGGCTAAAATAGCGATCTTGACATTTCATTGTGGCTTCTTTTCTTTCGGTTCTTTGTTTCGCAAGTATGGCAATGAATCGGATCATCTAGATCGAGCATCGCCACTCCGGCGACCTTGATCTGGGCCATCGATGACCTCAAAGAGGGGGGAGGGGGCAGACCGGTATGGGGCGGGTGAAGAGCAGATCAGTGGAGTGGCAAGGAGGCAGGCTCGGAGGGGGGCCGCCCACACCCCGGTTGCCGAGGTCAGGGGCTGCGAGTGATTTGGTGTTTTTTTCAATGATGGAATGGACGGTTAGATTACAAAAAGTTGAGGAGGGTCTTGTGCATTTCCCATAACGAAAACCAGAAAGCAGGTTCTTTCCAAGAGCATAAGAACCAAACCAAATGCCATGCTCAATTACTCAACAACTTCACTCCTCGTGAGAAGCACCGGAAATTCTTCGACTCCCTCCGATTCGATAGTACAGTTCCGATCGAGACTCTCGACTATGGTGACTCAGAACCTCGACGCACGGTACATAAACATGGTTCTAAGTTACAACATACATTCATATCATGAAAGATACTTAGGACTGTTGCATAAGCAAACTCCAATGACCAGAAAGGTTGCACTCTTTTGCAATTCGCTGATGACTCAGAATCCCGACGCGTCGTCGTACGACGCCGGGTTCGATGATGGTATGGATATGTAAACAAAGTTTCTTCTTGTTTTTTGCGTCTTCCTTCCTCCTGCCTTTTCCCCTTTATTCTGATGTTGTCTCGAGCTATGAGATGTCCTCCTTTTTCTTTATGTGTAAATGAAATTGGATCCGTTTCATGGGGGCTAAAATAGCGATCTTGACCTTTCATTTTGGCTTCTTTTCTTTCGGTTCTTTGTTTCGTAATAAGTATGGCAATGAATTGGATCATCTAGATCAAGCATCGCCACTCCGGCGACCTTGATCTGGGCCATCGATGACCTCAAAGAGGGGGGAGGGGGCAGGCCGGTATGGGGCGGGTGAAGAGTAGATCAGTGGAGTGGCAAGGAGGCAGGCTCGGAGGGGGGCCGACCACGCCCCGGTCGCCGAGGTCGGGGGCTGCGAGTGATTTGGTGTTTTTTTCAGTGATGGAGAATGGACGGTTAGATTACAAAAAGTTGAGGAGGGTCTTGTGCATTTCCCATGACCAAAACCAGAAAGCAGGTTCTCTTCAAGAGCATAAGAACCAGACCAAATGCCATGCTCAATTACTCAAAAACTTCACTCCTCGTGAGAATGCACCGGAAATTCTTCGACTCCCTCCAATTCGATAGGACAGTTCCGATTGAGATTCTCGACTATGGTGACTCGGAATCCCGCACGGGACATAAACATGGTTCTAAGTTACAACATACATTAGCATCATGCAATATACTTGGGGACTGTTGCATAAGCAGATTGCAAAGACCGAAAGCCGCACCCGTCTGCAATTTGCAGATAATTCCAAAGCAAACCTCGACGATCAAAAAACCACGAATGTACCTTTGCTATCCAATTACATTAGTTGAGCTTCTTCCCAACCCATGCAAAAGCCCAAAGATGTTCCCATTCTTAACAAGAGAAGTACCATACATTCCATGCTGATCCAGCTCCTCCTTCGAGCGATCATGTTGCATCCAACGCCATGCTGTCTTCTGAGAGCTTGGTTCTTGAGCCTGGCCGCTCCCAGTTGATAAATGAACTCAAGTTCGCAGATCAGAGTTCGCGGGAACTAGATCCGCTTATCGCAGAAAGGCGTGATCCGTTGACCCGTGTAGCAACGCAAACAAAATAGCGGACTGAATTGCCAAAGCCCAAAGGAAAAAGGCCCTGCCTATGAATTGGCTGACTCAACCCTCACAAGCCCTATGGAATTGAAGGTTCACTCACGTACCGTACCCTCACCTTTTTAATTACACGGATTTGTCCTAATATTATAAGTCAATTTTACGACGACATATGATGTTTTCTGTTTTCATCGCTCCAATGAAAAGATATAGAAGACTTCCAAAAGAGCATACTTTAAGATAGCCTCACAGGTTACAGACCCGAAAGAAGAGAGTTCCACAGGCTTCACGAGAAAGAGGCGCAAGAACAGAGCAGTCAACATCGTTTTCAAAAGAGGGGGGCTAAAGAAGGCAGGACCACAAAGCGAAGATCAAAGTAAAACAGGCATAATGGTTGAGATCTTTTATCATCATAACTACAGAAATAAAAACTCCCTGAACCTCCCCATTTATATATACACTCCGCCCCCCGCAATCGATATCCCTATAGCCCTCCATTTTCAGATCATGTATTTACAACTTATTGAGTTACCTTATCGTGTCATATAGGTAGAGTGTTACCGATAATATACACGCAAACGTCAAAAGACATGTACACAGCTTCACCTCACAAAGTTTCGTCAGGTTTCAGAAAGTTATAGTATTCGAGCTGAGTCATGTCTCCACCAGTCATCGGGTCAAATTGGCATCGATAAAAGCTGCATCATCCGATAAAAAAAACAATTAGACTATTGAAGGCATTCAAATAAAATAGCGGGATTTATTAAAAGATGCAAACTGGGAGAGGTTCCAACTGCACACAGGTTGGTCTATGTGTCAAACATGATTCTCAAATCAGCCTCGTCTGAAATAAAAGAAACCTTGAGAGCTTCTCATAGAGGATTGATGTGCTCTTGGCAAGGAAGAATTTCTCCTCCCCTCTTTCCGTCACGTGACAAAGGGTGGGATTCGGGTTTTACAATATGCAAATAGGGCTAAGGGGTTGTTCAACATTTCACTAATGTATACAAAGAAGTAAAGAAGGTTGAGGAGAAAGCTGTGCATCCAATCTTTCTTTCATCATTGCTTAAAGGGAGTAAGAAACCAGAAGGATAACGTTCCCTCCTTCTGTTATTTATCTTACTTTAATGGGAAAACTGGGGTACTATTTGCTTGGTCTTGAGTATGTTACACTAAAGCATGTGGACAGCTATAGAAAGATATGAAAAAGCACTCATTTTATAGGATTTCATGACCCCAACTTGACATAAAAAAGGAAGACGGAGGAGTAGTAAGATGATATTACCTCCCATCCATGCCAAGAATTAAAACAGTGTTCTTCTGGTGTCCAAAAGCAACAACATATTGTAAACCTTCATGCAGTCGGAACTGAGCCACCGACCATTCCGAGCTAAAGTACCTAGGCAGAACACCTGCAAAGCATGGAGCAAAACTAGCCTGAGAGAAAGACATGGTGATCATGGTTTACTATAAACACATTTGGTCACTCAGCACGACATACAAATTAGCCACTGCAATAACTCATCCAATCATAATTAGATCTAGCATGACGGGAACAATTGAGCTCTACGTCAAGGGCCATTTACATGACAGAGACAAACAGTATGACTTAAAGATACAGCAATTCCTGGCAAATTACCTTTCATGAAAGAAAGTGATGAGATCATGGAGGAGGGAGACCCATGGTTTTCAGATGTGTTGTGCAATCTGTCATTGTTCAGCGTGCCTAAATCAGCCTTTAGACTGAAAACATGGACAGTTCCTTTGTCACTTGAGACCGCTAGCCATTGGGCAGTAGAAGAGAAGGCCAGGCTGTATATTTCTGCACGATCCGCACCTCTTCTAACCTACATGAAGAACTTTGAATCTTAGTTATGTAATGAATAAAGCAGAATATTGCCCAAGATTATATGATAATCAAATTGTCCTCTTTCTACAATTCTAAAGGCCTATTGAAGCACAACACAGTTTCAGCAGAGAACAATACCTGATTACCGTATTTATTTAGCAAAATAACCACGCACTACAATCACTCTCATAGTCTTTGGAAGCTATGAACAGCGCAAGCCCTTACTGACACATTAATTCATGAAAACATTTGTCAGTTGGATATCAACACCTCACCAAGGCAGTTTAAAATATCTCCCTATAGAAACTAAATCAATTGGTCTCATCATTGTGCCCATCAAGAAGCAATAACAACTCCCAAGGGTTAAGTACATATTACAGATACCATATTAGCAATTAAGACATTTCTACTTCACGTAATTACCTATCCATAAAAGAATTGTGAGGATTTGTATTAAAGACACCAGTAATCCCAAAAGCAAGATTTTCTTTTATCAGTAGAATGAATATACCTTTACTGATTTGGGTAAAAAAAAGAGAGAGGAACAGATGAGTGTGATTCGAAAGGTACAAAAAATTTAGACAATTCCAAACACTAGTGGTGAATGACATGATCTCAAGTGATGTTGGATTACAACATTTAAGTAAACATCCTAACTTACTACACAGATACTGCCATTCAAAAAAGAATTCTTCCCCAATGGTAGTGACTCAGAAAAGCCAATTCGCGGTTTTAATCCTGGACGAGCAATATCTTTTACCAGTTCCTATATATGCATGAATTGAAAATCCAAACTTGCAAGATCTTCATCATTCAGTTCATGCTTGATGGTGGGCTATCTTAGATAAGCTTTACTAATGCACCAAGCACACCATATTTTCCCCAGTTTCAAAACACAACCAGCATCAAATTCTGGACCAACCTCTTGAAGCAACGACCCGTCGAGAGTATTAAACACCCTAACTAGAGTCCCCTTACTACTTGCAGTTGCTAATAACCTCCCATCTTGGGAAAGCGCAAAGGCCGCGATCCTTGAACCATGCGCCATTATAAACTTAGTCCTCTTCGAAGCATAGTGCTCGACCCTAACCTGTAAAGGGTATATTATGCACCAATCATCAGCACGTAGGTGAATCAATTTAACCAATTTGTAATTGACTTGTGAGGGTGCCAATCGCCTCACCTGCCCCTTCTGAAGCCCAGGACAGACGAGCACCATCTGCCCCGAGCTCTGCGACACCATGCACAAACCCTTCGGATTCGCGATCGTCTCAATCTGATGCAGCAGCTTCAAGTCGGCGAAGTTGTAGACATATATCTTCTGGAGCAGGATCACCACGATGCGGTCCCGCCGGAGCTTGACCGACTTCACCTCGGACCGGAAGGAGAGCTCCCCGATGCACCGGGACTGGTGGTCGTCCCAGATCATGACCTTGTTCACCGGGTACAGCGCGTTGGACCCGCTCCCGACGAGGGCCAGTATGTTGCACCGGAACAGCATCTCCACGGCGGCGATCCCGCCCTCGGACTCGAAGTCCCGGCGGAAGATCTCCCGGAACGGGTCGCAGTTGTAGATCCGGAACCCGTTGTCGGTCCCCACGGCGAAGCAACCGAAGTCCTGATTGAACGACAGGTGGAGGAGGCTCGGGACGCGGGACATGGCGGGGCCCTGGGCGGCGGGCGTCGGCGGCGGCGGCGGCTGCAGCAGGGCCTGAGCCTGAGGCGAGTGGGGGAGGGAAGGGGCGGACTCTGGGGAGCCGCCGGCGAGATCGGAGTTGAAGTCGTAGTCGGAGGACATGAGGGGGGCGGTGGAGGGAGGGAGATGGAGATGGGTAGGGTTCTCCGGCGGCGGCGCCGGGGGGGAGGGAGGGGGGCTGCTGGGGCTGGGGCTGGGGTCGGGGTCGAAGGCGAAATCGGGGGGGATTAGGGTCTGGGGCGGAGGGAAGGGGCGGTGGTTGGTGGTGGTGGTGGTGGTGGTGGTGGAGGAAGGGGAGGAGGAGTGGGTGGTCATGGAGGAGGTGGAGGAGGAGGTTAGAGTTGCAGGGTTAGGGTTGAGGGTTGAAGGAGGAGGAGGAAGGAGAAGGAGATAAAGGTGGAGAGGATGAAGATGGAAGATGGAAGATGGTAGATGGTGACGGTGGTGACCTTACTTTTGTTTGACACTTGGGACAGCACAGGGAGGGACAGAGAAGAGCAAGTTGCTTCAGTTTTAGATTTTAGATTTTTTTTATTTTTTTATTTATTTGGCAATATTATTTATATATTTGGGGATATAAATTTGTGGGTGAATTTTGTAAATTAAAAAGATGCATTTTTTGGGGTCATCCAACTCCAATTTCTCTGATCCAAAGAAAAAAAAACTCCAATTTCAAAATAAATGCGAAATTTCAAAAGATTGATTTTATGTGAGAATCATTTAATTAATCGCGAAATTTCACGTTCACGTTATTAATTTTTTGAAGTCGCGATTTACAAAGCTGATGATCCAAACCGACGGATTCAAGTCGTGTAATTGAACGCGTTTTTTTTTTAAATCTTTTTGGATTCGCTATTTGCATGCAATTTATGGTGCTGGATTGTCCACCTATATATAGCCGGATACGATGTTCATACGCATTTGAATTGAAAATACTAAAAGGGTTTCGAACGAGAGTGAATAAAAGCTTTAATTACATCTGATAGATGAAATTGAAGTTTAGCGAGCCAAATTGTTTTTTTTTTTTTTGGTAAGGTAGCGAGCCAAATTGTTGAGCCAAGGCACAATGACAAACAATGGAAGCCACCATGAATTTTGTTGTTATCCTCCATAATATCAATTTTTTTTCCATATGTAGTTAATTTGTTGTGAAAAGATATTGTTATCCTATGTAAGCTCGATATTGTGTGGATTGCATATGAGATAAACCCTATGATAGTCTAAGTGTACTTTGAGAAATTGATATCACGAGGCATCATGTTAATTAATAAAGAGTATCCTATATTTTGTCTTGTGAAAAATTAACAAATTTGGAAGGTTGTTCAAACTTTAATCAATTTATATCCTTTTGAAATATAACTTAACAAAAAAAAAAGTCTTCACTATTAATAAAAAAAAATATATGCACATAATTCATTCGTAACATCAAACTCAAATTTGAAAGCCAAAAGTCATCGATCGGGGAGAACTAGCGTGGCATATCATAATATCTCGTCTAAAACTAGCATTACCGAGTCGCACGCCATCATGTGGAAAAAAAATCCCTACTAATTATTTCTATCAACAATTAAATGAGTTTTTTTTTTTGGTCGGGAGCAATTAAATGAGTTTACCAAGCAAATTATTTGAATTTTGCCAATTGACAAGTAAATGAGTTTATTGAACAAATTTGTTGAATTTAAGGGTGCAGAATGAATATATACAAAAAATTAAAATAAAAGGAGAGAAAGAAAAAAAATGAAAGATCTAAATTTTTCATAGGGCAACTATACTTAAATCTTTTTTATCCCCCAATTAATTTCTTCTCTTACAAATAAAAAAAAATTAGTTAAAATGGAAAAGATTCCAAAAAATGGGGGAGCCAAAGACAGTTTACAGTTATTTGCCTTCCTTGTGCACTAGCACTAGTCAATGAACCCTCTCTATGGCCACAACCAAATCAACATCATCAGGAAAAGAGCTGATCAGCTTCATCTGCATCTTCCTCAGGCCACCGGCGAACTCCATGGCCTCGTCCATGGCCCTCCTCGCGCCGCCGAGCGCCTCCTCCAACTCCTTGTTGGCCAAGTAGAACGAGCACACTTGGCCGAGGAGCCGGTCGTGCCTCTCCTGGGACCTCGCCGCCCTCTCGTCCGCTCGCTCAAGCGCCTCAGACACGATCCGCAGCTTCTCGAGCGTGCGGAATCGCTTCTGCCACCACTTGATGCTGGGTACGCAGAGGATGAACGACGCCGAGAAGCCGATCACGGCGCAGACCGCGCGGCCATAGTCCATAGAAATTTGCGGTGGGTTTTCTTTATGGTCCAAGAGGAAGAGGAGAAGGTAAGAGACAGAGAAGTTTTAAAAGCAATGTTGGGTCTGACTTAAGATTCTTTGCCTTTGGTGGGGGCAATCACTTGCTTGTAGGAAACTAACTCCTTTAGCTTCCACTATGGGAAATTTTGTTGGTACAGACTTTTTCTCACAACGGGTTATGCTGTAACATCAGGAATCTGAAATCAATATTGCTCTTTCTGCAATTTCTGATGCACATCTAGAGAAATACTCCCAGATTTTCTCTTTGCCTGGATCTGAAATTGGGAATTCAGGCACTTGGGTCATGGCTGAAAACTTGAATCCTCTCTATCCTTAAGTGCTGAGTAGCTCAACTAAGGTGGCTACTTACTGATGGACAAATGAAAAAGTAATGCTTCTCAGATTCTCAAAATGATCCTAAGCCAGCCTAGGACAAAGAATGATGATTTCTCCTGCCGGTTTCGATACCGTCTACTGGAAAAGAATCCTAATGCACAAAGAATTTGGCGAAATGAAAGCAAAACAAAACAAGAGGAAAGGACTAAAAGCTTTTAAGGAAAAAGAATTCCATGCCTAATGTCTAACTCTTTTCTACAACTCGGCGTCGGATTCTTCGTCCTGACTGTCCTGACTCCCCAGAGCGACCCGAGGTTCCTCCGCTCTTGTCGAGGGCTATAAATGTTTTGTGTTCCACTTGACAGAGTTATATTATAAAGACTCTAAATCAGATTGAGAATCATGAAATTATGGATGACCATCAATTGTTCTCCCCATTCCTTTCAGAAACTATTGTTGAGTAGTATTGTCACTCTTCCAAAATTTGGTTCATTCCCAACCCTAGATTAATACCGCAATATTTTTATTTTTGGGTGCGCTAACATTGACATTTTTTTTAATCATAATAGGGTTGAAGTTGGTAAATGTCAATCTGAACAACACAAAACTTTACACACACACACAGAAAATTTGTGTTACAATCCTAATTCCTAGTGAATGCACTTACAGATTACACACAATGAAAACAGGCAAAGAGCACGAATCAATTTGATCTATCTGAAAGGAGAGAGAGGATTGGAACTGCTAGGGACTTTGAGACATCTCAGCTCTTTGCACACATGATCCAACATCCCCAAGAAGTCCCTCACAATCACAAATATGCGAAGTGGGTTGGCCTCTTCTTTGCTCACATCTCCATGAAAGTACTCTGTGACCTCTCTGACATGCAAAAGCACTCTGTCTTCATCTTCCTTCAGCTCCTTCAGGCTCTTCTCCGAATAGGTTGTGAATAATCTCATCGAGTGAACGAATTTCTCGCCCTTTTCGTCCGTGCCTAATTCCTTATTCACTAGCCTTTTCAGTTTAGTCAACCCGTCTGATAAGTTCGAGAGCGAGCTAGTGAGCACATCCAGATCGATCGTGGCCGTCTTCTTCGCATTGTATAGCTCGGTGCTTAAACCAGCCACAAGATCGAGCCCCATTCTTCGGTAGTCCTCTTCCTTCTCTTCAGCGGTTCGGTTCCTGCTCTTCTGATCAATCTTTCCCATGATGCTATCCGAGACTCGGATTCCTTCTGAACGGACCATTTCTTGGACAACAAAATGGAGTAAAGTAGTCTTGCCATCTGTTCCTTTGACGTCAGCGAGTTTGAGCAGAGCATCGAGCTTGAATGCCTTGGCACCTCCTCGGATCGTTCCGACATTCATCCTGTTTCCTGTCTTGAGCACTGCCTCAAGCAGCTTCAAGAAGAGCCTACTTGATCTGAGCTCCTTGCAGGCCTCCTAAAAATCAATAAAGAAGAAACTTCACTTATTAAGAAGATTTTAGCCACTCTTTGCAAATTATCAATGTGTCAGGATTTTCATTATTTTTTACCTCTAGCACTAAGAAAGAATTTTTTAGATGGGCAATTTCATCATCAAAAGTCTCTTTATAGAGCATGGCTTCCCCACGTTGGAATGCAAACGGAATGCTAAGCAATGACTTAATGAACTTTTCTGCCGATCCCAGTTCATCTATGTTTCCCTTGTAGCCATTGAGCTTAGCCTCTTCTTCCTTGGTTGGCACCATCTTCACCAATGCCTCTAGCTGTTGCTGTGACAAACCGTTTCCTGTGTTTTTGTCTCTCAAGAAAAACTTTAGGATCAAACCCAACATCGCATATAATTGTTGGTCAAATTGCAAATTTGAATTAATGAATCCCTCAGGGTTTGCTATTTGAAGTTAGAGATAATCACCTTGAATTAATGAATTGCAAACTTGCTCAGGGCTCGCATTTAAGGCCTTGGAAAGTATGGTAATATTATGTAGCCGCTTTGGCTCAAGGAGATGCTTACTCGGGGAAGGCGTTCCACTTCTCACCTCATCAATTTTCAATGGATTTTGTAAATTGTAACCGAAAAGCGATTCTATCATCTCCTCGTCCAACCTATTTCATCTCATTTTCAATCACAGGCGAATCAACACAAGAAACTGCGAAAGAAAAGGATTTAACTGTCACTATGGTACAAAAATCACTTACTCGAACGAGCTTGACCTCAGCCTGTCCCACACCATGGAACGATCCGGCGTGGCCCTTACTTTGTCCCAGTGGAGTGGCTTCAGTTTTGGCAGAGGCGCTCCATCTTTGCCCGTTGTCGGCATAAACTGAGCAAGTTGAGATGATGGAGGAGGGCCTTTCGCAAAGCTAGTGTTTCGTTTAAAAAGTGGTGGCAGGCATGGCGGTGACGGAATTCCTGGTGGACATTGTGCTGGTTTGGGATTCATCATGGGCAATTGAACCAAGTCACTCTTGGGAGTAAACTCTGATCCTGAACAAGAATCTGAGTTCCTAGAAGGTGACAAGTCTTTATGTGTCGAAAATGGTGGAGACTTACGAGCAGTTCTGGTGGAAGAACTTGGGGAGGAAAAATGAAAACGGGGAAGCAGAGAGGGCGGTGGCGGCGGAGGTGGTGGAGGAGGCGGAGGTGGCGGGCCTTGAGCAATTGGAGTCATTTGACATTCTACTGGACCTACATCTGTAGCATTAATCTGTTTGGTATTGTTGCAAGGACCTTGTGCATTCGATGTATCCATTGAGTTGGCTAGGGAAGGTGTTATTGACCTAGATGAGTTTCGAGACAAAATTTCCAATGTTTCGCTGCTAACACTACATTGCAAAGCATCCGACACCCGTGCCTCGGGTGAATGTGAATCCCCAAAAGAATGAAAAGATTCATCGTCAGATGAATGATTTTCAGTGGGAATATTATTGTCACTGGCTAAAGGAGAATTGCCACCGTCTGGGTCATACTTTACCGACTCCGCATCCTCGTGAACCGACGTAATTTCCCTAGTGGAAGAACTACTAGTGTTATCCGATTCCAATTTCACCGGCTCTTGGTTTAGCGCTTTAGTCTCTAGCCTAGCTTGGTAAGTGCTATGCAATGGTGAACTAGTGACAGATTCAGAACTCCGTTTCAAAGACTGCTGTTCCAAATCCACTCCCAACGACTCCAGATAAAAAAGATCGAGGCCAGGATTGAAGCTTACCTTGCTCGCCGAGTTCTTCGTACTCGCATGCTTTGATCTGCCTCTGTTTCCTCTTCCTTTCTTACCACATGTCAAGAAATTCTTGACACTCCTGCTTCTGTTGTGCTTCCTGGATTTCCCGAAGAAGCATACAAGCCCGAGAACACAGCCTAAAAACGCAACTCCTGTAGGCACAAGAACAGCAGCCAAAACACGGCTCTTGTCGTTAGCCTCCTTGCGAAGTGTGTCGTGTTGCGGCTTTGCTCTATAATGTGGTGGAGGATGATGAGAACGTGGGTGAGTGTGCACTGAAGGAGCAGGAGATGGAGCTTGAGCTTCACTAGGAGATGGTGAAGGTGTAGGTGAGGGTAAAGGTGAAGGTGAAGGTGAAGGTGAAGGTGAGACGTATTCAGGAAGCCCAAATGGCGGCCTTTTTGTGTTCAACCTCTCCACTCCAAGCAAAGCCCTGAACTTCTCCACCACAGTAAAATCTCCCTCCTCGTCTCTCTCATCCTTGCCCGAGACTTTCTCGATCTCAACCCGGTTTGCATTGCCATTTTCTCTTTCTCCCCCATTGAAATACAGCTTTTCCCAGCCACGAAGATTGGTCTTTTCAGCTGCGTTGAAAGAACCATCATCAAGCAGAGAGTGGGCACTTTGAAAGGACAGGAGCAAGAAAATGAAGAAGGTGATGATGAGGGAAATCATGAGGGAAATCTTTAGCCCGCAACCCATTTGGGGTGTTTCCTTGTTCAAGCCAGGAACATCAGAGCAGGCAATGAATGCAACTTTCTGGCTATAAATTCGGTTCCTTTTTGCTCCATCCTTGAAGAAAATGATGTGCTTTTGTGGGGGTTGCTCGGGATGCGTTGGAGAAGAAGGTGCAGAGGTGTGTGCTTCAGTCCCAAGTCTTTAATGCTACTCCAAGGAACCCCTGAGCCTGGTAGTTGCCCTGGGCCTTCTTTTACTTCTCTGTTCCCGGATTCCTCTCTCTCTCTCTCTCCTCCATTAATTCCCTCTGCAAAAGGAGACTCTTAAACACGTATTGCTGTGCTTGTCTTCCTTGGCAATCCTATCATTTTTAGCAGAGATTCCCCCTAATGATGCCCGTCTCTCTCACATGCTCTCCTTTTTGGTCATTATGGAAAATCCGTAGTCAAGCACATGTAACTCTCTCTCCCTCTCTCTCTCTCTCTCTCTCAGAGACAACAACAACACAACCACCAAGTTTTGTAGTTCAGTAGTGGAAGCAACTGATGCATGGGGTCATGGGATTTGCAGGTGAGTTTAGAGACCCTTTTAGGGAGCTAAAAGTGACCAAATCAAGAAGATGCAATCCAAGTATCCTGGCGGGTCCCTTGTTGGTTGGACTCTTTGCCTAACTCTGCATTGCAGGAGGAGGGTGAAACTACAAAAGAGAGAGAGAAAAAAAAGGTTTGGGAGAGCGACGAAATGGTCCATCACATCACTGTCTCTCGTGTGACGAATCTAACCACGTCGCTCAAATGCTGGTTTACGGGAGGCTAAGACAACCACCAGACCACCACCACCACCACCACCCACAAGTCTCTTTCCTTAAACTTTTGCTTGGCTCCACTTGCAAGTCATTGTATTGTCTATCACAATGTTCTTCCGGATTGAGTGGAAGTCTTAAGCGGAAAGTCTTGATCTTGAATGAAGACTTACTGTATTATGTACTTTAGTTTCATGACCTACACGACATGCTGAACCCTCCACATTGTTCCACACCTAATCACGCACCAGCCCGTCTAATCGGACCCGCCCTGTTTAATGGATAATGCTAAGAGTGATGCTAGATATATCGATGCCGTTTTAGAACATCAATGTAAAAAAACGATACCTGGAATGAAAAACGGGTCATGTGCAATATTCGGCGAAAACTTGCCAAGATCATTAGGGGTGAGCCAAAGGAACCGCTCGACCGGACAGGTTGGTTCTGGATGGTTTCCAGGAGCACCGGTCCGGTTCCTGGTTCCATAAAATTAGAACCGGTGAATTTCGATCCGGTTCTAAGTTCCAGGTGTGGAACCGTCCACCTGGACCGGATTGATTTTTTTTTATTTCTTTAAAATTTGTAAAAAACCTTAATCTATCTTCCATTTTACGAGCGATTACGTTTACTTATGCATGTGAGTAAGATGACAAGAAAAAATCAAAACACAACAGTAGTTGCTCATTCCAACCAAATTTTGCCACAAATTGAAAAAAAATTTGTGAAAGCTACAATGTTATACGTAACTTACTGATTATAAAAACACATTGATTATCACAAATATCTTCAATTTCATCCTGAACATTAATAACAAATAAAAAAAAAAACTGAATATGTCACCGGTTTCATTGGTCCACCTAGGAACCGAACTGGTCGGTCTATTTCAATTCTAGGGGCATCGGATCTGGTTCCCAGTTCATGGGTGAGCACCGGACCACCCGGGAACTGATTACCCCTAAAGATCATTGTATAAATCAATGTTGTTTGCAGTCTAGGTAAACCTAGAATTGCTACAGTGTCAGTAACATCATCCTCACCGACAGCGTTGCGTCATAGACCAAGAGTTTCTTCACGAACGCCACCGTCGGAGCGATCTGAGATGGAAGACTGAATAGGTTGGCACATGATTGGAGTCTGATGTCAATGCCAAGGATCGGACAGGACAGTAATAACATGGATTCAACTCAGTATGGCCTTAGGGACTGTCGGCCCTCATATTGGCCATTTTGATCCAAGAACTGAGAAGCCCTTGTCTGCCACTATTATTGCGAGGATTGAATAGCATGTTTTCTTTTTGTTTTGTCCTCTGTTTCTTTTTTCCTGGTTACAGATCTTTCAATGGAATGGTATATGTTCTGCAGAAGAAGATGGGAGCAAGACGACACTTGTACTGCGGAAGAACAAGAACCCTATGGAGAACCCGTGGGTGATCCAGAAACAGATGTTGATCGTTTCTCAAGATGGCAATAGGAACAAACAGTGGGACAACTTGTGGAATCTGACATTTCGTGCACGCAAAATATCTACCATCAATCATTCCTGTATCCTTAAGTTGCATGTGGTCTTCTGTGTCTCATTAGTCAGATGGGTTGTCGTAGAACAGGACATCAGCACACATCAGAAAATATGGAGTAGGATTTTATATTGGTGTTCAATATTTTGTTTGATAAATGACCATTTATGGTGCCGCTGCACCGGATCTACGCATAGAGTACCCCGATAAGTCGAGATTCCAATGTTACATTGAATGGAATTAGACTATTCACGACCCGTTTTAGCACTGGACCACACGATGAGCCATTAGCTAGACATCAGTTTGTTATTGCAAAATTGCGGTACTTTCAAGTCCAATTCCATCCTCGAGTGCTAGCTTATTGTCTAACACGACGCATAGGGGCAACATCCGAACACGAGACGAACTACCAAGAAAAACCCGAACCCAATATACTCGCGAACACGATTAACTCAAAACCCGCACCTCTTTTCTTAACAAAGATCAGATCCTTTTCACTTTGATGGTACTAGGGAATGGAACGACTAATAAAGAATTGCAACCAACTGGTTAGCTTCAATCAAAGGTTAAACCTGAAACAACAGACGTTGACCGCAGTCCAGCAAGAACTAATAAACCCAGCTTTACATGACCCAATGATAAGCTCAGCTCTCGACCTTCTTATAAGGTTTGGCCCATGGTACATCAATTCATTTCCAAGACCCACTTTTTTCCTCTCTTTGGGCCACACATTGACCAGAATAACTTCCATCTTCAGAGTTCTTTCTTTTGGGCAAAACGACCATTTCTAGGGCTAATAACTACAAAAGCTTGCCAACAGGCGTGCAGCCTTACTAGTTAAGCGATTAGGGGGTGGGGCCGGAGAGTAATAGGTCTAAAATTCGATCCCTGTGAGCAACGCATACACTTGTACATTAAAGAGATGAGTGAGACAAAAACTACAAAAGCTTGAACTGTGCATGTCGCATTTCCGCATGAAGGGGAGAAAGCCTAATCTTGAGGTCTAACTGTCGTGAACTGATCTGTGCTCTCTTAGGCACAAAAGCTCAACCGAAGTGGGAGATTCGAGCTCTTATCAATGATGGAAGTGATCTACCAGCCTGTTTTTCATATCTCCAGGTGGCCCTTTCTTCATGGAGTCCAATGACGTCGCAGATTGGGTTGCAAAAGCCCAAAGGAACAAAAGCCTACCGAGAAATTGGACTGTTCACCCACCTCAAGCCTTTGGCACTTTGCTCTGAAGCTTAGGCTATGTATCCTACCTTTTTGTCTAAATGAATGAGGAAGGCCTTTTCAGACCAAAAAAAAAGGAACTACAAAGCTTGACGATTTAGCAAAGAAAAAGGAAAAAACTGCAAAGTTTAGAGGGGCTGGCTCGAGAGTTTTTTCGCATAAGACTAATACAAAGTTTGATTAGAGCAATGGAAACTCCTAGTTCGATGCATAGTGTTAGGATAAACGACATGCGAGTTTCGGTCACTTGTACGTGCGTACATTGATCTTTTGGTCGTTGTTCGACCAAACAAAGCGTTGAGGAGTCAACGTTAGGAACTTAGGATTCGCATTAATGTAGAAAGAGGTGAGCTTGGTAGTAACGCGTATCGACTATGCAAACCCAAATGACGACTGCGATTCCACCGGATAGATATTAGGAACAGATTCGGAGATTGGACAATTGAGAGCCGCCTTTGTTGTCAACAGGACAAATACGGCAACGAGAAAACAGCAACTTCCATGAAGTTCCCATCAAAGTGTACTTAACCAAGACGTTTCTTGCCCGAGGTTCTAACTTGTGGAAAAATTAAGATGTTCCTTTTCGAAGCTTTTTGTACTATTCAGTGGCTTTTTTTATACAATATTAGGTACTTTACCACAAGACTAAGAAAGTCATACAGAGTAAGGAAAGCTACATGGAAAGATTTGAGAGAAATGCTAATTTGGTCCGTCAAACTTCAGCGAAGGAACATATCAAACGACGTTTTCTAAAGCAATATGGACGCAAACCGGCGTATTTATATGTATCAAGTCAGACTTCATCCATAGAACGGCAGGCGCTAGATCTGTCGCATCTAAAATCAAGTGTTTAACCACTCGTCCAGTCGTTCATGTCCTGGAGAGTTACTCCAGGTATTTGCCAAGAAGCCTGGAAAAGAAATATTCTCTTGTCCACCGATGTGCACTCGTGAAAAGCCTATTCTACGCTTATGGCCGTTAAGTAAGTAATCTCTACCGCCGTGTTGAGCTTCGCAGAATGTCCTAATCCCACCTTTTTTCCAGAAAATGTAGGAAAGCGATGTTTCTGTTCTGACGTGAAGAATGTTGTGCATTGGTTTGCATTGGTAAACCCAGTGATTTCGCGGTAGGAGGGAAGAGCAGGAATTTAGGGTAAATCCAATCTCTACGATAGCCCCACAAGCAGAACCGAAGTGGGTCCTGGAAAAGCCCATTGTAATGAGAAATTTACCGTGATCGTCGCACACGACGCGTGAAGTCTCCTTCTCGCGACTTCATAGGGTTTCAATATATTGATCCCGAACAAGTCCACCGTTAAACTAAGGAGAAATTGTCCGATCTGATCTGAACCCTATTGTACGGATGCCAATTCAATTTCAAACCTTTCAGATTTTGCCGATTTAGTCCTAAACCTTGGCGCAAAATTCCAATATACTCCTTCCATCCAATTTTCGCCTGAAATCGCTATCGTGGCGGTGCGCCACATAAGATGGCAAGCGATAGCTAGATAGCCACGTCAGCGGTTCTCGGCAAAAATTGACTGGAATAACAACATTAGAATTTAGAGCAAAAGTTTAGGACTGAATTGGTCTCCGTACAATAGGTTTCGAAATGATTGGGTAATCTTCCCATTAAATTGATCTCGTTTTTCCATTCAGTTTCTCGAAGCAGACCAATCCAAATGATCCCTTCTTCATCTCAGTTTTGCCTAGAGTTTCTGTCAGCAAACCAGAAGAGCAAGGTGCTTCTGAAAGTGCACACCTCGTTTCAGCTTGCTTACTGTCCAAGCACTTCCACCGCAAGAGGAGAAGCATACACGGTTGATCATAACACATTTATACTTTATAAAAAAAGGGACAATGACACAAATGGTATTTGAACTTTGACCCAATGTGCAATGTGGTCCATGAACTTTTAATTTGTTTAATGTAGTCCCTGAACTATATGAAAATATTTAATGTAGTCCATGAACTTGAATTGATGGAGGGATTACATTTTCATACAGTTCAAGGACTAAATTGAACATGGACCGAAATTTCATGGGTGACATTAAACAAATTAAAAGTTCATGGACTACATTACACATTGGACCAAAGTTCATTGACTATTTATGTCATTTTCCCTTAAAAAAAACTGTGTTATATACTTTTTCATTAAGTGCTCAAGCGGGCACCAGTTAGGCCAGCTGGAACAATCATCTTTTAAGTAGACTAAAGCTGGGGTTCATCCATTAAAGTCGCTTTATTTTGCATTTAAAGAAGAAATGCGTGGTATCTTACCCCTATCAAAAAGCATGACATGCTAAAGATTCATTGGTGTCCACCATTAACATCAAAGCCTCCAACTTAAAACTTTAGCAGAATTCAGAGACCCTTTTGAGATGATTATCACCTAACTCAACAGGTGCTTTGTAATAATGCCAGCCCATCAAGCACTAATCTGTGTAGGCCCCTACTAGGATCTCTTTTCCCCTCCATTTCCTCCCTTTAAAATGCTTCACTTCCTCAGCATTCCCTCTCTCTCTCTCTCTCTCTCACTCTCTCTCTCTCTCTCTCAAGAGCAGTCTCCTTCATTGGTGCTCTAGGATGGCAAACTCAGAAGTGAAGAAAGGCACAAAAGATGGGGAAGAAGCTTCGGTGTATCTAAACTTCAAGGTAAATGGAACCATGATCATATACAATCTCAATATGTAGTTATAAGATTAAGCTAAGAGCAGCTTCTGTACAATAACTGATGAGAATTCTTTCTCTGTGACTGGTTTATAGACCTCGGTTTTGAGAGTCTCCATCCACTGTGAAGGATGCAAGCGCAAAGTCGAAAAGGTTCTAAACAAGATTCCAGGTAAATTGAAAACTTAATGACCGCAAACTCTTCTTGCTCTTCCGTTTTGACTTTCTAATTCAAGCGTCAGTACCAACATGCTTCTCATTTTTCTGGTGATTATACTGATTAATGGGTCCATTTTGAGTTCTCATAGATTGAAAAACCATCTGGAAAGCTTACGCTGCACTAGTTGTGTTCTGCTGATCAACCATGTTTTAGGACCTCCTAATGCCATTCCTTTCTGATTCTTCATTCAACAGTTCCTTCTCCCTCATTTTCTTTCATTTTTTCATTCATTTCAAGTTGTAAATTCAGAGTATAATCATTCTCTAAACTTCTGCACAGAGAGAGAGAGAGTAAACCTCTCCTTTCTAATACAAGCCAAAGCCAATTAGACCTGCTTCATATCTTGCCATGAGATGTGCCCACTAGTGAGTTATGTTGATATTATAGTAACCGAAACCTTTTACGGGTCCTTTCGATCCGTGAAACTAAACTAGTTGAACCGGTGCGAACCCCATCTGAGAATTTCGAACTAGCAAGTTCGGTACGGTTTTGATTACTCGGATTCAATACATAGACCCCATAGAACAAAACGATTAAGCATACTAAACACCCGGAATGATTGTTTGTCTCTATATCTGCGTATGCAGAGTCTATAATCTCTCTCTAATTAGTATGTTAATCTATCTGAACAGGTGTTTACAAGACGGAGATCGACCAGAAGCAACAAATGGTCACCGTGATAGGGGACATAGACGCAGAGACTTTGATCAACAGACTCAGAAAACAAGGCAAAAACGCAGAGCCATGGCCTCAAAAGCCCCAAAAGCCAGTCAAAGCCAAGAACAAAGAGAGACAAAGTGACCCGAATAATGCTAAAGAGCCCAAAAAAGAGACGCAAAGTGTGAAAACTGAAGCACCAGAGGAAGACCAAATTGCTAAAGTGAACAGTGAAGGCAGTGGCAAAGAAGCTAGGAAAGAAAAAGCAACCCAACATAGTGAACCTGCAACGGATAGAGCCGGTGCTGAAGCGAAAGAAGGGAAGCAGGAGGGGGAGGGGAACGTGACCGCATCGGCCGGTGACCGGCCGGCGGCTGAGAAGCAGCCGGTCGCTGGTGAGGCTGAGGGCGGTGCGGAGAAAAGTGGGGGCAATGGCAGTGCTGGTAAAAAGAAGAAAAAGAAGGGGCAGAACGGGAAGAATGCGGACGGGGAGGGTGCACACTCCGGTGAAGCACCGGCGAGCACTGTATCAGGATCCGAGGAACAGAAGAATCACGGTCAATGTCCAAAGCCTAACGCTGCCGATGGCAGCCGTCCACGTCAGCAAGCCGGTCAACATTCGGCTCCGCCACATTCAAACGATGTACCCGCGGGCCTGAGGTCTCAACATGAGGGGCAGGGTCAAGGTCCGACTCTAGTGTCGCCCAATCATGCCGCTCCACGTCATCACGAGCACCGGTATCAGCCGCCACACCATGCACCTCCGGCGTACATGTTCGGTTACCACACCGACCCCGCACTTAGTTACCACACGGCGAATCCTACCCACCCGGTTAGTTACCGCACAGAGAATCCGAGCACCTCCTATGCCGCGTCGCATTACGACCCTAACCCGCCATTGTACTCTCATGATTACTTGCATCCGGGCATGGTGGAAGAACGCCCACCGTACTATATGAGCACCTATCATTCACAACCACCCGAGTCGTTCGAGATGTTCAGCGACGAGAACCCGAATGCTTGCTCAATTATGTGATTATTCACATAGAAAAAATGGGAGCTAGTCGAGATTATTCAGGGTAGGAGCTTATACTTCTTGTGTAAGATTATAGGAACGTGTTGTAACTTCGTAACTGTAAGGGGACACGAGAGAGAGACCATTTCATTTTTAGTTAGGAAAAATTAAATGTTGGGGTCTTAGTTTATGAGGACTTCTGGTTAGTGGGTCCCTTTGTTCTACCAATGTTTGATATACATTTTGTGTTAATTACAACTTAGCTTCCCTAAAATTTCCTAATTTACTTTGCCCAATGTTTTAAAAAACTGAGAAATTATCAAAAAAGTCTTAAATTTTTTGCATTTGTGCTAATTCAATTCTAAACCTTTCAATTTGGTCAATTTAGTCCTAAACGTAGAAAAAAAAGAAAACAAAAAAAAATTCATAAAATTAAAAAATAGCAAAAATTATCCACATCAGCGCTGGCTAGAGGTGGCCACGGGCCGGTTTTGGCCCGGAACCGGCCCGGTCAAACCCGGGCCCGGCCCGTTGACCGGGCCCGCGGTTCGGAACCGGAACCGGCCCGTGGCATACGGTCCCGGTTCCGGTTCCAAAAAAATTTGAACCGGCCCGGAACCGGTTCTGCGAAAAAAAAAATTAAAAAAAAAAAACTGCAGGCTGCAGGCCGCCGGCCGGCGCGGAGGTCGCCGGCGTCGGGCGAGGCCGCCCTCGCTGGGCCGGGCGAGGCCGGCCTCACCCGACGCCGGCGAGGCGAGGCTCGGCCTCGCCCGCAACCGGCGAGGCTCGACCTCGCCGGCGTCGGGCGAGGCCGGCCTCGCCCGCAATTGGCGAGGCTCGACCCCGACGCCGGCCCTCCGCGAGGCTCGACCTCGCCCGGCGTCGGCGAGGCCGGCCTCGCCCGGCCCAGCGAGGGCCGGCCTCGCCCGACGCCGGCGAGGGCCGCCTCGCCTAGAGGCCGGCACCTCCGCGCCGGTCCCGGCTATGGCCGGCCGCGGAGGAAGAAAAAAAAAAGAAAAGGAAAAGGAAAAGAAAAAAAACAGAAAAAAATAGGAACCGGCCCGGAACCGGACGGTTTCGACCCGGAACCGGAACCGCCAGAGGCTGTTCCGGTTCCGGTTCACACTTGGCCACGAACCGGAACCGCCGGTTCCGAACCGTGGCCACCTCTAGTGCTAGCTGTGCCATGTAGGACGGCTAACGCTGACTATACCGCCATGTTGGCGGTTTCTGACCAAAATTGGACGGAATGACTAAATTGGCAAATCGTTAAAAAGTTTAGGACTAAATTGACAATTTATCGAAAGGTATATAACTAAATTAACACAACCGAAAAGTTCAAGACTAAATTGGCAAATTGTCAAAAGGTTCAGGATTAAATTGGCGTAATTAAAAAGTTTAAGACTAAATTACCATTATACAATGATTTAGGACTTTTTGAACAATTTTCCCCTTTGTACGACCTTCGGTACGGTTTTTAAAACATTGGTTATTACATGAACAACTTATAAAGGGATAAATTCAATGACTAGTTCATAAGCAATTAGATACATTTGCGATTGCATGAATGGGATAACTTGGAAAGAGTTAAGACAGGAAAAATTGTCAAAAAAGTCCTAAAGCTATTGTACAGATTCCAATCCAATCATAAACTTTCCAATTTGATCAATGTAATCCCAAATATTTTGACGATTTTCTCACGTAATTCAACCGGCCAATTTAGGCTGGAATTGCAAACATGACAGTCCAGTCAGCGCCTGACGTCTTACGTGGCACGGTCGGCAACTGACATGGACGATATTAAATGAATGACGTCATTTCGTAATTTTTTTTTAAAATTTTTCGAAATTTTTATTCTTTTTTTTCTAATTTTTTCCTTTACTACTTACTATTCATCTTCTTCCTTCCGCTGGTAAGGGCCGGTGGGGGTCAACCCCTGTTGACAACGTGTGGATGCATTTAAGTATTTGACGTGCTCGCCATTAAAATAAAAAGCCAAATCCCAAATGTCAAAAAAATCTGTGAAAAAAAAATTAAAAGAAGAAGTAAATAAATTTACAAACACAAGACATATTTAGTGCAATTCTTAGAAAATATCATCGGTGGGAAATAAATTTATCCACGCGTTGCAAGTACCCCCACCACTTCCCTAACCAACACATCAACGGCGGGGAAAGTGACACGTGGACAATTTTGTGTCCTTCGATAAATTATCCATAGATTAGTTGATAATCCGGCTTCATAACAAAAAATGTTTCCATTGCCGAACTTCACATACGAAACCTTTTCATAATATATAGGGTATGTTTGTTTCATGAAAAATGAAATGATTTGGGGTACATTTTCTAAAAAAATATCACTTGTATTATTTATAAAAATGAAAGAACAAAAAATATTTTCATTGCCAACGAAAATGTTTGGACATAAATTATTCTCGATAGCGAAAACATTTTTCACTGACTAATTATTTTAAGCGGCACAAGCGATCATTTTGAGGAAAATGTCTTCTAAAAATGAATAATTTATTTCAAGCGGCACAAGCGATCATTCGTTTTCCGCGAGACTAACGCCTCCTAAAAATGAATAATTTTACATAAAAGTTATATCACGTGATATATTGATACGGTGTCGTTCGTCTAATTATTTTTCTCTTCGTGTTGAAAATGCCAAATAAATTGACAATAGACTTAGGATAAGTCCCACTTGGTTACATGATTAGACATGGTGTGATATAACTTTTCCATTGAGGACAGACTTTAAAATAGAGAACTATTTACTCTTCCTGCCTTGGGCCACCTTATGATCCACCAAAACCCTGATTTTTCTGATGAAAAAAAGATTACTTTAATATGGACAAGTAGTAGCGGGGTTAAATCTCGACCTAATTCCAATAAAGATTAGCCTGACCTGTAAAGGTAAGAGCTCGCTTTGATTTTCTCTGTTTTTGATGGATTATGTCTTTGCTTTATGTCCTAACGGAAATGATTGCGATTGCTGATTAGGCTCTTCTTTCTAATTTGTTCTGCCCTTTGTAAATTTTTTATCAATACTTTCCAAATTCAATCAACACTTCCACTGCCGCCCCCACCACGGCGGTGTGCGGTTGATGATTGCTTCCGGGACTTGGTCCATCAGAACCGAAGCAGTCCAAAGTAGGCTGTTTCTCAGTACTACTGTGGACTTTTTTCAGGGGCTCCACGAGCATTGCTCTTGTTACCCAGTTGAATGCACAAGACTGGTATGAGTTTAAGACAATTCAATCCGAGATGTTTCGGCCTTTGAGCAATGAAGAACACGAGAATACGACAGCTCGAATGCTTCGTTCCTTTGATCAACCAATCACCGGAACATTTGATAGCCACTCGAGATATATGGTACGATTCAACCATTGGCCATTACCTTGAGATTGATCCATTGATCCACATAGCTTCGTCCAACTTGGAAGGGCATAACCCATTCATTCGCTCTCCAGTAAAGGGCAAACCGGTCTCAATAGGCCTAGAGAGGTCGGTCGGGGGCGATTTAGTTCTCTGCATAAGGTCAGGAATGGTTAAATCAAGGGCCTGGTCTAAATAAGTATTCGCCGGAAAGCGAACCCTTCTTCTGTCTTTGCCTTATGCGGATAAATCCAGTCTAATCGTTTTCAGCCGAACTAATATCGCCAAAGGGAATCGATGTCATTCGTTATTCTTTCTTTTTCATTTCGTCCTGAAAACATGCTTCGCTCATGGCATGAAGAGTTAGTTTATTTCAGCTCAGCCTAGCTCCAGTAAGCGTAATCAGGTGACCTAGAGCTAGAAACGATATTGACCAAGAAAACAAAGGCCTAGCCAAAACCATCAGTAATCGAAAGACCAGTCGAGAAACAGATAAGTCGCATGTATTCCAACAATCAACTTGATCAGTTTCCAGAACTGAAATGTACTAACAAAAGACCAGTTTCACTGTGACATAGCTCGCTCTCTATCAAAAGGAATAGACCTCTTCAGGTGACATGCGGCCGCACTCGAAATTACTGTCGAAGTTCAGCTTTCTTCTTTTGCCAGAGCCTGTCAACGGCACTGTCAGCATCACCCTGCAAAATGAGTTCCACATGCTCAGAGCCGAATCCAAAGAAGGTGCTGGTGAAAAGCCGAGAGGGCTTTCTTCTATGCTTTCACGAATTACAAAAATAACCGGGCAATATTAGGACAAGGAAAGTGATCGAGCATAAAAATAGTTCTATCGTTCTTGTTCCTACTGGTGGTGACAAAATAGTTAAAAATGTATCCAGCCCGAAACAAGTGTTACCACACACTGCTTATCAATTGACATGAGCAAATCTGATTATTTCTTTGAACAAGTGACGCAGTCACATACAATTCAGGTCACCAGAAGTAAAATGAACTCTATCAATACACACAACATTTCAGAAGGAAAGTTCTTTATCGCAAGTCTAAGGGAAAAATAGTATGATAATTATGTATTTAAACGACTGTTCAAGATAAAAAAAAAAATACAAATTATCCAATACAAGCCAGTACATCACCATCCATGCTTGATAAGAAAGAAATCAAATAGTACACAAAACCAATGAACCCAGGAACTGCATCATTCATATCAACTTCTACCAATAAGCACAGTTGAACATAACCCAAAAGAATTACAGAAAAGGGCAACTATTATGAAGGTCTACATGAAGGGAAGAAGAGGAACCTGGGCTCTAATGAAACCGCAGAGCGCAAAAGTTGTGAATTGGTTGGTGTAAACACCATCAGGACCCAAGTGCCCAATGTTGATCTGGACAGACGCATGGTCCTTCGAGGTGATAAGCCTGTTCGTGGCAGAACTGCAGTGAAAGAAAATTCTGCATCAAAACTCTCCTCCTACTAACTGAATTTCATTATTAGCTAAGAAGGCCCTGTTGCGTACCACTTCCTGGGGATGTAGAGGTCCATGTTTTGTCCTTCCTCGTTCTGCATCTTGAAAGGCTGTTTTCTAGACTTCAAACACTGATCAAAATATTCAACCAGTTACAACCCAACCAAAGAATAAATTTTCAACAGAGAGCTGATGCGAATGTCATCATGAACTTCTTAGCAACATAGTTCTCTTCTGCAGTCTCCTTAACAAAATCCAAATCTAAGTCGAACATTACAACCATATATTGCAACAGAGAGACATCCGTGGGATGGACACTATTCTTACAAAGATAAACATCCATCGAGCATAGATCGAGTGCGGCAAGTGTCTCATCCGAATTTTATCGAATCGAAAAGACAGTAAACCTTACTTAGCAAATTACAAGTAACACGCAAAACTAGGCTTCGCACCTGGCACAGAATGCAAATCGTCCCGCAATGGTACACAAGGCAAAACAATATCGATGTCCGATAATATCAATTCCCCCAAGCAATTCACTGATGTTCTAACCAACAAATCCATCTGCTACTTCACTCATACAGTAAATTCCCATAGTGGTTTTTTCCCCAAGAAGCAAGTGCCCATCGAGCAAGACGATGCATTTTTACCATCCAATGAACCCCGATTCCTAGATTCCTGCAGGAAAAATCTCTATACATACAGAAGCCAGCCTAAAGCAGCACGTCATGCCTAATACTATCAAAGAAACTCCCTTTCTCGCTCAAAGTGCAACTAGCTAGCATCACGTACGCGGAAGCGCAGGCGAGCTCAGCCCAGAACCAGTTCCTCTCAGGTTCGGGCAAAACCAGCTCATAACTAGCTCTACGATGAAGAAGAAACGCCGGCGACAACACCGAGAGGTCGGAATTTGACGAACCAATAGCAGAACACAGATCCAGCGATACGTTACTGTAAGGAGAAAGTAACACCGATCGCAGAGAGAGAGAGAAAGAGAGTACCGGCGGAGGGAGAGGTCGAGGGCGAGGAGGACGACGGCAATGGCTCAGGCGAGAGTGATGGCGGAGGAACGGGCGACCTCGCGCTTGCTTATATACGGTGGCCGCGGCGAAACCCTAGCTTCTCCATTGGGCGCGCTCGCGCTGGCGTTGTTCCTCCGAAGCAGCAAGTGAAACGGGCCTTTGGCTGAACCATGAGATATGGGCCTCATCGCCCATTAAACGGCCCATAAATAGTGGGCCGTGCGGCCCATTAGCAGAGGAGCTTGGCACCAGGAGTTCGTCAAAACGACGTCTTTTTTCGAGACCTTTCCTCCGCGCCAAAATGCCCAGTCTCATATACGAACGACTCCTCCGAGTCTCAGCCTCGGCTTTTCCCATATAGCAAATACAAGCATCGCAAGCTGATTCCTCTGTTCTCGTTCACACCAATTTCATTTGCAGCTGACAATCATCGGCAGAATGTTAAGCTCCCATGTCTCGGCAATGTGGCAATACTCGGGTAATTTACCTTTTTGGTTCTCGAACTTTTCATCTGTTGAGTACCCGGGAAATACTTGCTTGATCGGAGAATTGCGGTCTGTGGCCCGCAGTCCACATGCTCCCATGACCGGGCACAATTACAGCACATTGGATTTCATGACATGCACAGGCCCTCGTGAGGAACGGTCGTGATCTACTTGGTATGTCGTCGACTGGGTCCGATCAAGTATTCGCCCTTGAACACACATAATATGGTAGTACAAAGTGAGGCTCTATAGTTTAGAGGTTTATTTGATGTCGGAGTTTTGATCTGGAGGTTTCTATCATCGAAGGGCATGAATCATGTTGGTGCTTCGTTGTAGAATATGGAAATGTGGAAGCTGTGCAAATGCGGATAGTGTAAGTTCCAAGAAAAGCCGGGCTATAGTTCTTCAGAGGGGATCCCCTTCAAGTGCACATTCACTACTTAAGGCTTCAGTTTGCCCAATTTCTTGCCAGCATTCAGCTGTTTATCAATGATGCAAGTAGTGTTCAAACAAAACCCTTGATCTACCCTACCTTTTCTGGTCGAATCTTTCAGCAGTTCGACTTTCGAACGTCCTGAGTTTGTGGTTCCACACTGTTACATGCAACAGGTCCAGTTGAAACCGGTTGTTTCATTTCCTCTTGAAGTAGTAGCAAAGAAACTCTAGAATTAACTAAAGTAGAAAGCAAGCACACTACGGAAATGGACTGTCGTAGAATCGTCAGCTGCTTCTCAACTATGTTTATAACAGGATGGCTGCAAAATGTTAAGAGCATTTACATTGAAGACTTGTTCGGCTCAAGCTTTTTGATGGACTGATGGCGTTTCGCACTTTGTACATGCACTACGCTCTTATGTCCTCTTTATACGATCTTTGGTACTGATACCGACTTACCTAAGAGACATGACCACCATTTCTTCTTTTGTAGAACTCAAATCTCAGACAAAATCATTCGATAAAGTGGTTATACTATAGGCATGGTGAAAGCCAACTTCGTTGTTGGATTCAAAACATACCATCCAGTCAAGATGCCATTTCTCTGGGAATACTTGCACTTTATCTTTGCCGTCGCCTTTTGGAGCTTCTTAACAAATGAAATATGCTCAAAAAAAAATATTTCACTATAAGTATTTGGCAAGTTAAACATGAATTTTGAAATTTGAAAGCATCCATTATTTACTTGGCCATTGCCCTCAGAGGAAGCTACACCCAAGAATTGTCCTGCCCACATTTACTTCACTGCATCAATTTTACAAGATGTGGCATCATCCACACAAAACAAGGTGCCAAGCTCATGGCTCATGCTCTACATTCTGCAGGTAAGCGGAACTAGGAGAAAAACATGCCAAATCACTGAGTGTTGGCGTGGCGGTGCTACACTTGGCCCCAGAAGAGAGATGCTGATGCGGGTTCAAGCGGTGAGTGATAGTAATCGAACCCCATTTAATTAGAATGACATATAGAATGAACATTCAGAGGCAAGATAAGGGCAAGATCTTTATCCAAAATCCATGTCAATAAAGATCCGAGGGCCACTGCCAGATGCAGACTCTTATCCTCCAAGCCATAAATGCATCACAGCCAAGCATCTCTTTCGATATCATCTGTGGGAGCGCTTGTGCGACCAGCGTTAAGTAATCAAACAAGAAAAAGTTTGCCGTTTTCAATACGCCCGACATCTCTCGTGATAATATCAAGTTCTTGATCGATACGTTCGACAAAGTGAAACACTCATTAACGCAGCCTTCCTTGGTTTAGTTGCTTCATCTGTAGGGTACTTGACCCGTCTGGTGCCCACCTGGAGGAGTTACAGGTATGTGATTGGATTGTCATGGTTGGGTCAACGAAAGCCTGTGGGTCAGACAGATTAATGGAAAATCTCAAGGTGGGACTTGTATGTAGGCCACCATCACCACTTTAAAAAAGGGCAAGTTCCTTCTCAAGAACTGGCCTTGGTAGGGCCCCATCTTGCACATCCTGCCAAGCATGATCTCTTGAGATAGATGCTTACATGCCAGGATGTCACTGAACCATAATTCATTCCAAACTCTTCCTCAATTTCTGCTTTATTTATTGCTTCCTTCAGGTATGAAGACTCTGTTCTATTCTCCCTTTTTTTTAATATTCCTTGCAAACAGCTGGACCCATAAAGCATTCTGACCAGTTAAACGTTTGACAAACAAGAAATTGGGAAGGAGAGTGCATCATATCCGCAAAGGTCAATGCACTCGGACGATACGGCATCCGCGTAGCTACCTGGGGGAGACTTTGGAAGTAAATTCGCTAAGGCTCGAGAGCTCATAATCGCATCGAACACAGTATGGTATCGAATCCTATTTCTCTGGTTTCAAAGACGATGGTGAGCTTGCACATGTAGCAAATGGGGGGAGGAAGGTCCGTCGTTTTCAAGGTTCGATTTGTTGATGTAGATAGGAGATTTAAATAACAAGAAGATTGGCATTTAATATAAGAATATGAAGTCACGCACAGAATTGATATCATGGGAACAGCTGGCCTTAGGTTTGAGAACGCGCAAGCGCCGCTCTACAATACAATCTCTGATTGATTGGCCGGCCGCTCCTGACCTTATAAGGCTTCGTGCACGTCACTTTGTGGCCAAAACAACGAAACAAAAGATTCAATAAACTTCTTGGCCTGCTTAACGTGATAACGTGATTCACCCCTTATTTTATTCCAACGGAATAACGTCTTGACATCAGTCCTTTTGTCTTTTTTGGCTCTGACAAGTCAATCGGAATTGGTGGTTGTCAGGTCACAAACATATGTCAGACAACAGAAACTGGCAATAACGTAAATAACAGACAAAACCCATGTCAGAAGAACTCCAAAAGGTACCACCTTCTTCTATAAATCTCCAACTCGGTCGCCTCTCTCTCTCCCAATCATCATCAACTTCATCATCATCACCCCTGAAGCATCTTCTCTTGCTCACATCAATGGCCAATCTCAAATCCTTAATGATCTGTGCAGTCCTGATCGCGATCGCTGCCGCCGCCGCCGCCCAGTCGAGCGAGGTTGGCCAGACGCACCTCGGGTTCGTGCCCGCCACTGTCGGGTCGCAGTGCACGGGCTCTCTCGCCGAGTGCCTGTCTGAGGAGGAGGAGTTCGCGATGGACTCCGAGTCGAACCGGCGCATCCTGGCGACGACCAAGTACATCAGCTACGGCGCGCTGCAGCGGGACAGCGTGCCCTGCTCCCGCCGTGGCGCTTCGTACTACAACTGCAAGCCGGGGGCTTCCTCCAACCCGTACTCTCGCGGCTGCAGCACCATCACGAGGTGCAGGAGCTGAAACCGGAGAATTCGCATCGATCATTCTCTGCCTGTACTACTTTTTTTTTTTCTCTTTTGAAGAAAAATTTTACTTTGTGATTTTGATGGGTTATACATATGGAGAGATAAACGGGCTTTGGTGGTGACATATCTTGATTGTTTGTTCCTTCGATGATGAAAAGGTCATTGTAACAGAAGTTGTGTGCTCTTGGGTCTTGAGAATTTGACTCTAATATACTGAAACGAAATAAAGATAACGAGGGAAGGAGATTTGTTCTTGAGCTTGGAGTGAATCTGAGCCTGAGCATGTTTCTGGGCATATGGCATTGTTTTTGTCATTTCTGCGATAAACCTTTGCTCGACCCGTGAGTTCGAATGCCAACGAATTTTCCGATAGCCATATAGTATGAAGCTCCGGTGACGATACAAACGGGTCGATTGCATTATGGAACTCGACATGTCGATTTCCGGAGGATATGCCGGTTTTAGAACTCCGGAACCAGGATTATAAGCTCTTAGTTAGTTGTACACACTTTATCCGTTGGCAATCGATGCCGATTCGACGGGCACCGGGATCAAATTCTAGTCGTGAGAAAGATGGAGATGATCGACGAGTTGTTAGACTATACACCGAATAATAAGATGGGTGAATCAAATCTTGGCACAACATAAGCTTTTTTATCTTACTGTTTCATGTGCTGTATGCTGTGCCTTTTCCAACTTGAATTTGGTTTTCTGCAAGATGAAGAAGCTATATATCTTTCTCTTCTTTATTGTGCATATAAAGACGAGTTACGTTCATGTCTCTTTCGGAGAAAATGATATGAAATTTGAAACGATAATGCTTTGAGCTGGCACGGTTTCGATGATGGGTACATAATGCATATCATCACAGAAACCAAAAAACGGTAATGGCCTCCACTTTGCCGAAATTCAATTTATTTGTTTCTCTTTCGAAACGCGAATGCAAGTCCGAAAACGGCGCAATTTTTCAAATGTGAATTACCGTTGACACGGAGCCTAAAATTTGGGCCCAAACGTTAAAAAAGTTGATGGTTCAAACCGGGCCATGACAATACACTAAACCACAAGGCCCAACACATGAAATGCTGTTAGACCCGTCAAATAGGTGAGTCAAATGGTCCAACCCAATTGATCAATTCAACCCTTTTTGATCAATTTTCATGAAATATAAATATAGTAATACATACTCAATCTAACACATATTGCTAAAACACTTTTGTATTTAATTCAATTTAGAAAAACTCGTACCCAACTAAGGTGAGAGCACGAAGTGAGCAAACGCGAGACTAAGTAAAAGTGACAGAGAGTCATAGAGGTGGATTGGTTCGTAACTAGATTGGTTCTAAGTAAGTTACGAACCCATTTACTATCAATTTAATTTTTGGCTTACTATTATAAACCCATTTATGACCCATATATTAAATGTAATTAATCCATATAACAATTCAGCCCATTAAATATAGGTTAAAAAATGAGTTTATGACATATCTTAGCACGTCTAAATGCTATACAACGTCCGTTGATAGGATGCCTATTAAGCTTGTCGATCGTGAGTTTCCGACGAGCAGAGTTCAAGTGAAGTGCAGGACACGTGGCAACAGTCAATCGACTTGAAGCATGCATCGTAGTTAAATACCGAGTCGAGAAGGATCTTTCGACCGAGGAATGACTATTGCTAACGAGCATTTAGATGAGAAGATTATTCTGAAATAACGACTTAGATTGGATTTTGCTTAAAGCTTGAATTTGAATTTCGAATTACTTTAGGTTTCCTGATTCCAATGTCCATCTTTGTTTATAAAAGCATTCCCGTCGTGTTTATTGTGCATATAAAGACGAGTTACGTTCATGTCTCTTTCGGAGAAAATGATATGAAATTTGAAACGATAATGCTTTGAGCTGGCACGGTTTCGATGATGGGTACATAATGCATATCATCACAGAAACCAAAAAACGGTAATGGCCCCCACTTTGCCGAAATTCAATTTATTTGTTTCTCTTTCGAAACGCGAATGCAAGTCCGAAAACGGCGCAGTTTTTCAAACGTGAATTACCGTTGACACGGAGCCTAAAATTTGGACCCAAACGTTAAAAAAGTTGATGGCTCAAACCGGGCCATGACAATACACTAAACCACAAGGCCCAACACATGGAATGCTATTAGACGTGTCCAACAGGTGAGTCTGATCGAAAATGGTCAAACCCAATTGATCAATTTTCATGAAATACAAATATAGTAATCAATACCCGATTCAACCCGTATTGCTAAAACACTTTTATATATAATTCAATTTAGGAAAATTCGTACCCAACTAAAGTGAGAACACGAAGTGAGCAAACGTGAGATCAAGTAAACATAACAGAGAGTCATAGAGGTGAGTTGGGTCTAAGTAAGTTGTGAACCTATTTAATACCGGCCATTTAATTTTTGGCTTACTATTATAAACCTATTTATGACCCATATATTAAATATAACTAACCCATATAACAATTCAGCCCATCAAATATAGGTTAAAAAATGAGTTTATGACATATCTTAACACGTCTAAATACTATACAACGTCCGTTGATAGGATGCCTATTAAGCTTGTCGATCGTGAGTTTTCAACGAGCAGAGTTCAAGCGAAGTGCAGGACACGTGGCAACAGTCAATCGACTTGAAGCATGCATCGTAGTTAAATACCGAGTCGTGAAGGATCTTTCGACCGAGGAATGACTATTGCTAAATGAATCACGACCAGTTATAGATTATTCCTACAGTAGCGTGCGTAAGGTCCGTTTAAAGATACAGGAAGCATAAAAAAGTGAGACAAATCAGCATCATAAAATCGTAACAACACATCAAATTTTGACCCTCAACAAATGAAGATGAGAAGATTATTCTGAAATAACGACTTAGATTGGATTTTGCTTAAAGCTTGAATTTGAATTTCGAATTACTTTAGGTTTCCTAATTCCAATGTCCATCTTTGGCTCCGTTCGTTTCACGGATAATGTTACGTTTCTGGAAAATATTTTTCAGGAAGTCATTTTTCTAGAAAAAAACACAATTTTCCGGTATTCGACTAAAATCTGAAAAAGTTTCGGAAAATATTTTCCGGTATTCGGCGGCCGGCAACTAGCAGGCGGGCGTCCAGCAACCAGCCGACGGGCATCTGGCGGCCGGCAACCGGTCGGTGGGAGTCCGGCGGCCGGGGGGGGGAAAGAAGGAGGCCGGCGGAAAATGTTTTCCTCTTTTCAAAAAGAGGAAAACATTTTCCTTGCTTTTTTTTTTCATGTTTTCATTCATTGAGGGAAAATGTTTTTCGGGGTTAGTTTATTTTCCGCCTCCGAACACCGAAAAACTTGAAAAATATTTTCTCGAAAAATATTTTTCGCGAAACGAACGGAGCCTTTGTTTATAAAAGCATTTTGGTCATATTTTGTAGCATTTTTTACTTTCTATACACACTCCAATCTATCCATTAGCATTTATTGTTTGGTTTAGGTTATCGAGCAAACATGAGCTCCGAAAATTTAGGCCATTTGTTTTAATTTCCATCATTTCATGCGATTTCCTTATCGTTTCCAATTTACCGTCTCAGCACTATTCAATAATTCGAAATTCGCAGAGTCCTCGAGAATTCAAGACATGTTAGTATCATTTACTTTCGATTTGTAGTTGTATCTAACAATTTAATTGGTCTCCGATCATTCTTGATTGGACTATAATCACCGATTGAAACCGTTGTGTGTTCCCGACGACCACAACATCGCGAAAATTCACTTCACAATTACAAAACTCGACACGCTAGTTTCAAAATCGGTTTATCCCGGTACCAATGTGATCGGTTTTGGAAGTTAATCTGCCAATGATTTAGTTAAAAATATGAAGATTTGATTAGGAACAAAAGTATTTGTGTATTAATTTGCAAGCGACTATATTGTCCCCCATCACATGACTGGATGTCATGCCTTTTGTGGCTCTAACGTAATTGTTGATGTAGTCACTCAGTCACGCTCTTGTCCTGAGATTCTTGTAAATGAATCGCGGCTGAAAGAAGTCAGTACATTTGTCAATTTCAATGATTAACTTGATAATAATCGGTTCGAAGTATATGCCGCGTCATCAGCTGACGTGATGGGTAACTTGAATTAATAACTTATCATGTTATTAGAATCAAATCACTTGCTTCCTTCGATAGAAGCCACCGCACGCGCGTTACCGAAAGTCGTGCACGACGCTCGTTGTGTATGGCGCTCACCTAATATCTTTCCCGAAAATATAGTTTTTCATGGTTTATCGGAATAGGATTGTCCGACTAAAAAAAAAAACCAGGATTGATTTTCTATTTTCTAATGATGAAATTCCATTTTTCCGAGCCCAAGAGGCCTATGATTTTGTCGGAAGACCGGCCCAAATTGTCAAGCAATCGAGCAAGAACGCTGTTGGGCCATGGCCTTATGAAGGGCTCGAACGCTGTTGGGCCATGGCCTTATGAAGGGCCCTTACAAGCCTTGAGGTTCGTCCATTCTATCTTTCGTTTTCGCCATTGCTGCTCTCCTCACGCTCTTGGATAATGTTTCGTCATGTACGTAGATGTAACTCTCCTCACTTGGAAAGACCGAGCGCACGTATACTCGTCAAATCAATATCAACTCTTCTTATGGCTGCATACTTGTTGATAGCTTCCTTAAACTGTGGTTTCGTCGTACTGCATGTGTGCGCTCTTCCTTCCAACCGCCTCTTCTCTCTCCATTTTTACTTGATCGCTTATGAGAAAGCTCCGATTATAGTCACCTGAGTCAGAGTGTTCGGTCTCGAGCTCTACATACATCTTCACATTGGGTTGTTGTTATAGCCTCTTCCCTCCTCCTTTTTTTCGCTTGGCTTAATTAAGAACTTCGCTATTAATTTCTGTAGGTTATCTTCGGCAACCTAACAACTCCATGTGCATCGTCTTTCTTAAAAGTTTTAGTTTTTTCCCCTAGCCGCTTGAAGTTGTTCTTCTTCGTTATCAGACAACCGCGTGACCACAACAAGCTCATCATCCTCTTCATTTTCATGATCATGCCCATTAGTAAGCATTACAACTACCTCATTTACTCCTGCATTTATCAATCCCTCAACAAAACCCATCCCCAATGCCAATACATAAACTTGAGACCCCACAAGACCCATCAATTTGGCTAGCACTCGTACAAGTCCTTTGTAACTCCAATATTTGCAGCCCCACTCTTCCCTACAGCTTTGTCTTTCTCTCTCTGGTCCACTCTC